AACATGTCCTGGTGTTAACCATGTTCCGGCTGGCAGAAAGGGCATAGGAAGAATCCCTGTTCAGCCATTATTTACTGAAATGTTGGTAACCATGCTAGAAGGAAGATTACACACAGGTCAGTAATGTTGGTGGCAGGGGGTTGTGAATAGACTTGTACAGAGATATTTGTGGAGCACTTAAGACATATGAGACCTTGTGCTAGGCCTGATGGGTAATACCAGACCACAGTGCCTGCCATCTAAGAATACCTAGTGTAATCTGAGGGGTAGCCAGATATGTAAATAGTTATGGTACCAGCAACATCCATAAGTGCTGTGAGAATAATATCTAGGAGGAGATCACGTGAGCTGTGATCATTAGGAACCGGAATGGTTGGTTTTACACGGAAAGTTGAGATTTCAGTTATCTTTCAGATCTTTTGCACTGGTGTAGTCCCTCTCTTATGGCTGTCAGGAAAGGAACACCCACCATGTAACACCAAGCGGCAGCAAACAACTTCAGAAGAACAGAACTTTCTTTTCTAAAGTCAGCTTTAAAACTATTTTCACTGGGTATAGAATTTTATCTTTACAGTTTTCCCCTAGTTCTTTAAAGATCCTGATCCACTGGCTTGCACTGTGACTGAGGAGAAGTCGGCTATAATTCTTTGTTCTTCTGTATGTAATGTCGTTTTTTCTTCTGGATGCTTTTAAGATTTTTATCACTGGTTTTAAACATTTTGAATATGATGTGCTTTGGTGTAGTGTTCATTGTGCTCCTTAAGCTTGGGATTTGTGAGCCTCTTGGCTCTCTGGGTTTATACTTTTCATTAGATCTGGGAAACTTTGGGCTCTTCTTTCTTTTTTGTTTGTTTGTTTGTTTGTTTGTTTTCTGTTCCCATCCCCTCCATCTTCCAGAGACTCCTATTACATATATATTAGGTTACTTGAGGCTCTATAGCTCAGTGATGCACTGTTCATTTTTCCTGCTTTTTTTTGCTGTGTCTCACTTGGATAGTTTCCATGGGTATGGCTTCGAGTCTATTAATGTCCTCTTCTGCAGTGCCTCCTCTCCTGTTAATGCGGTTCAGTGTAATTTTCACCCCAGACACTGTAATTCCCATCCCTAGTAATCCAGTTTGAGTCGTTTCATATTTTCTATGCCTTTATTTAGCACGCTCAATCTGCTCTCTAATTTCTTGAACCTGTGGAGTATAATTACAGCTGTCTTCATGTCCTTGTCTATGAGTTTTATTATCTGTGTTATTTCTGGGTCAGTTTGATTGATTTTTCTCCTCATTATGGTTCCTGTTTTCTTTCTTCTTTGCATGCCTGTTGTTTTTTTTTTTTTTTTTGATTGAACATTGGACATTGTGAATTTTGTCTTCTCTAGTGCTAGATATTTTTATATTCCTATAAATATCTTGAACTTTGGTCTGGGGCATAGTTAGGTTTCCTTGGCAGTGGATTGGTCCTTTTTGCTCTTGGTTTGTTTGTTTGTTTGTTTTTAAGCTTTTTAAGGCAAGACCAGAATAGCATTTAGACGAGGGTTGATTTTTCTTTCCATACGACCTTTTCTTTCCACCTGAGGTTTGGTCTGTTGTTAGATCTGATTTCATTTTTCTGTTTTACTTTCACTAGTATAAGAATGTTAAAGACTGGAATATAAAAAGTTAGTTGCATTTGCCATAGATCGATGGGTTTTTTCAATGAGTTTTTATGTTTTCAAAAGTAAAATGTAGTTGGTTATTGGAAAGGAAAAGGAGAGAGGGCTAAGGGTAGCAGAAGACCACAATTAGACTTAATAAATCTGGCCTACATTTCCAGAGGAACTCTTTGGATGATAAATGAGGCCAACTATCCTTTGAGTTGTTCAGGTGAAGCTGGGTATCGCTAGTGATATCTAATGACCCTCCTCCTTCTGTGACTGGGCAAGAGGAAAATGTGAGTAATGCCAGTGTGTATTGACTGGCTGGATCAGGTGTGTAGAGCTTTGTCTGAAAAGCGAGAGTTGCAGATCCTGATTGGCTCAAGACTATATTGTGGCCTGATCAAGATAGCCAGGACTCCAGTGATGGAATTTTTCTTTTATCCTAGTCAGTTGTGATGACCAGAGCCTTCCTTGGAAAGATAGCCTTTGTTTAGATGACTGTGAGCCCATGTGGTCTCTCTGGTGCCTGTGGGAGCTCTGGGTATTCCTGCTCCTCAAGGAGCTCATTGACGTAATTTCAGACGCTATATCCTCACTCAAGAGAACAGGCCATCTTGCTCTGCGTGGAATATCTTACAAGACACATTGCTGTGTCAGTTTTTCAGCTGCTTGTTCCAGATGTCTCTAGCAGCCCTACTTTTTCTACTTTTTCTCAGATGCTTAGCAAGCTTACCTGTATGACTGGCCTTTCTGTGCTGCAGAGGCTGTGAGAAGCTCTGCCTGAGCATTTGAGAGTTAAGCAGCATTTCACAAGCAAGCCCTCCGTGAGGCACTGATTGTACCATTTCCAGAGATTGTACAAGAGCTTCTGCTGATCTCACAGGTACTCACAGTCCAGGGGGGAAATAACATAGGTGAATACAGAAACCCATTCAGGAGGACCACGAAAGAAAATGAGAAGATAAGCAAAACAGTGTTTTGAGTCGTATTTCTTCAGACTTCTCTGTTGGGGTAGTGGCTGCAGTGACCAAGCGGCTGGCATCCCACCATTTATGGACGTGTTCTATTTTGAGACGGAGTTTGTGGTTTGGGAAGGATATATAATCATTTTCAACAAATACTTATGGAGGGTGTAAAGTATCATGTCAGGCACAAGGAATACTAAGAAGTATAGAGTTACGGCCTCTGCTTCTAAGGAACTGCTCATACTTGGAAAGGGAGGGCATGCTTAAGATGAAAAACCTTAATAAGATATAATAAGTCTTTGTAAGTGAAAAGCATAATCGTCAACATTTAGCAGAAATATATACTAAACTATGGGGCGCCTGGGTGGCTCAGTCATTAAGCGTCTGCCTTTGGCTCAGGTCATGATCCCAGGGTCCTGGGATCGAGCCCCACATCGGGCTCCCTGCTCGGCGGGAAGCCTGCTTCTCCCTCTCCCGCTCCCCCTGCTTGTGCTCCCCCTGCTTGTGTTCCCTCAGGCTCCCTGCTCGGCGGGAAGCCTGCTTCTCCCTCTCCCGCTCCCCCTGCTTGTATTCCCTCTCTCGCTGTGTCTCTCTCTGTCAAATAAATAAATAAAATCTTTAAAAAAAAAAAAAAAGAAATATATACTAAACTGTTAACTGCTCGGGGGTGTGGGGCTTGAGGTGGTGGGGCACATGGTTGGGGAAGAGGAAAGATCTTCACTTTTTATTATACGTTTGACCCGTGAACCGCAAGAGTTTGAACTGCACGGGTCTACTTACATGCAGTTTGTTGTTGTTGTTGTTGTTGTTTGGTAAATGTATTTTCTCTTCTTTATGTTTTTCTTTATAACATTTTATTTCATCTAGCTTTATTGCAAGAAGATAGCATATAGTACATATAACATACAAAATGTGTTAATCTACTATCGATGATATTGGTAAGGGTTCCAGTCGACAGTAGCCTATAGTAGTTAAGTTTTAAGGGAGTCAAAAGTTATATGTGAGTGTTTGACCGTGCTGGGGATTGGCATCTCTTTCCCCCACATTGCTCAAGGATCGACTGTATACATCTGTACATATACACTGTATACATACTGTGTATGGTTGGAAATTTTTACTAAGTGCCAGTATTGCCTTTTTGGAATTCTTTATCAGTTAAAAAAATGATAGAGAGGGGCAATGGGGTGCATGGGTGATGGGCATTAAGGAGGGCATGTGATGTGATGAGCACTGGGTGTTATACGCAGCTAATGAATCATTGAACGGTACATCAAAAACTAATGATGTACTGTATGTTGGCTAACTGAATTTAAATTAAAAAAATAAAATAACATAAAAATTAAATTAAATTTAAAAAGTGATAGACTAGAAGATTATACCCATAATGTTAGCCTTGAATATCTGTGTGATAGGATTATAAATAATTTATATTTTCTTTATTATACCTCCCTATTATTGCCCACATTTTCTATACTTGGTATGTATTATTTTGTAAATAGAGAAAGTATTTAAAAACCAAAACCCTAAAGCATCCATGATGATTATTATAACTACATGCCAACATGCGTACCGTATCTTGGATATAATGTACCAGCTTTCCCTTTTCTTTTTCCTCAGTCTTACCACAACTGCTAAGACAGTTCTTCTATCATAATTCATCATCATCGCCACTATTTATTTATTGATTTATTTTTAAAGATTTACTTTGTTATTTTAGAGAGAGAGCAGGGGGAGGGGCAGAGGGAGAGAGAGACTCTCAAGCAGACTCCACACTGAACACAGAGCCTGACATGGGGTTCGATCTCACAATCCTGAGTTCATGACCTGAGCCGAAGTCAGGAGTCACACGCTTAATGGACTGAGCCACCCAGGTGCCCCCATCGTCACTATGTAAAGGTGAAAAAGGGCATTGGCTCTTGCTTCTGTCCCTTGCCATTTTGAGTGAGTGAGTTAGCCTAGGAGCAGAAGGAATCCATCTATCAACTACTCAACTATACTGTGAAGTCTGCCTAGAAGAATTCAAATTATGCCGATTGGGTTACAATTATTTCTGTCAATGTGGGCTGTGATCTCTTGTTTTAAAGCATCCTAAGAATACTTTCTATATCTTTATATTTAGTTCTGTTGGAGAAAGCAATTAGATTATTCCATCTCCCCATCTGGTGCAGTAAGAAAACTCATCTGCTTGGCTTACTTTGCATGAGAGAGAATTAAAATGTCCAAGTTATCTGTAATTTGGGTTAAGTAGTTCAATCCCGGCTCTCCCAGATTTTTCTGGGAATTCATACCCCCTTATAATTATGAACTTAATCACTTTGAAAGTAATAGTGTTCTGAATTATTTAAGGAAGCCAGAGATCGGAAGACAGATGTCATTTCTAAATAAATTTTTTTTTTCCCTTATAGCATGTGTTTGATGATCTCAGTGTCTCAGTATCCTTGTCCTGGGTTGGCGATGGCACTGGGGTAAGTAGTATTTTGAGTCTGTTAACTCAGTGTAGCAAGAAGAAGATGGGGATTTTAGGAGTTTAAACACTGAATGTTGTTACTTTCTGAAATGGTCTCCAACCTCCATTGCAGAAAACGCATGTTTGCAGTACAGACTTTCAGGAAGCTGTGATTGGTTTGGTTTTGCTTTAAAACTGGGAACATCTTGTGACCACCTTCTTCCATAATAGCAAGATAGACACCTTTTTAGTTTTTGGCGGCTGCTTGGCATCAAGATGAGCAAGAAGAAGAAAGAGGAAGGAGAGTGCCGTGTGTGCTCCAACGGGAGCCTCACAATACTTGGGAAAACCCCTGTGTAGCAGCAGAAAACTGCACATTGCACATCTTGGCATTTTTCCTCCAAACTGTATTGTTCCTGTGTCCTTTCCCACAGTTAGCGTTGAAGGACTGTGGCACCCATGGGCTCGCGGCTGTTCAGCTCCATCTGCTGTCTCTTCCCCTGCCACAGGGGAGCCTGTGCCAGGACTGGTGGCATGGAGGGAGAGTCTGTCAGCTCCTTATCCCTGTATATCCCTGTATATACAGCCTCCACGGAGGAGGGTGCACCAAGGGTGGCCTCGGGTCTTCGGGTCTTGAGTCAGGGCTTGGCGTTGCCCAGCTCTGTGTCCTTTTGTCTGAACAAGGGCGGGGGCCACAGCTCATACCCTCTGGTATTCTGGTAATGCATACGTCATAGCACTGAGGCCCATGACGGTGGTATCAGGAATCAAAAGAAATAGAATTTTGGTGTTGAAAAGCAAGTTATAGATTTCTTATTTTCATTAAGTTTTAAACTTCTGGTAGGATATCTTTAACCATGTCTCAGTTTCTTCTAAAATTTGAGTAGCGCACCAATTTCCATGATTTATCCATTTGTCTAAGATGGTTGGTATCTCTAAGATTTCTTGTTGTATGGCTATTTGAGACTTCATAGCCTCTTGTACTAATCTACTATCAAGAGTCTGTTCCTCATGCGTATTTGTGTCTAGAAAAGTACTTATTTGAAAAATTAATTTCCCGGAGAACTAACAGCGAGGAGAGGAAGGAAAGGGCAAATGTATATGACATAGTGACCTCTATTAGAACACCCATACTATCCTAGCCTCTGTAAGCAGAAAGAGGGATGATCTTTGCCTGAGAATATCTTACAATAATAGAGATACAAAATAGTTAAACCCTTCCTTTATTATAATGTGTAGTTGATTAGCCCTGCGTCACTACTTCAGGTGTATGTGATGGGACCATTTCAACAAAAGGAGCTGAGATCTTGAGTCATTGTGAGCCCTAGTAACGTGGTCCTTCTTGGTTTTCTGATATTACAGTATAGGCTACCACAGAGCAGGGCTATTGGCAATTTTTAGATGTTGATTTAATCCCATCACATGCAAGCATGTAATTGGACTATCTTTCTTATTGACTGCATGCTTTTGTCTCTTCCCAGATCATTCTAGTCTTGACTACCTTCCATGTACCACTGGTAATTATGACTTTCGGACAGTCCAAGCTATATCGAAGGTGAGATACATAACATGTGGCTGGGGCATTGGCTGAGTAACACATTGTGAATGTAAGTTCCCTACTTTTATCATAGACATGATGGAGTCTAAAATTTGATTTAAAGGATCTTCTAGCCATCTTAAATTTTCACCAGACTGTCACACTCAGCACACTGAGTGTCTGCTTAGCAACCTGCTTAGCAAGAAGTATGAAAAGGGATCTAGTTCCGAGGAGATTAGGCTAACCTCACTGAGGGGCAAAACAGTAAAGGAAGATGAAGGAAGAGTCCGTAGGGGTCTGTATCTCTTCGTTTAAATGGGTATGTATTTGTGGGAAGGTAGCATAGAGTTTAACCATCTTTCTATTTATTATGAGTTTTTTTATATCACTGAAATAACACAGAATGGTTTTTATATCCCTGAATTAACAGTCCTCACTACCTTTCAAGTGAATGTGATTTATCTTACAATAAAATGGACACGTATTTTGAGCCCTAAGCAGGTTGTTTCCGGATCAGGAGGGAGTTCCCAGGTCAGACCTAACCCAAGTGCGTCACAGTGTTCACACTGGTAATGATGGTGGCAGTGTATGTTCAGGAACCATAATCTATACTGTGACATTCACAGGGTTTTAGAGTTGTCTTCTCAAAGGTACAGCTTGGTTAAATAGTAGGTTCTTTCTCTTAATTATAAGATTCAAGACCAGCTAACTCTCAGAAATTGCTGATTGTCTTCTCAGTCATTTGTGTCTATCCCATTTTCCCCCCAAGGGACCTAAAGAAAGATGACATCCCAGCAGATGACATAGAAACTGCCCCTCAGGGCCAAGGGAGCTCCCAGGAACCATTGTACTCTCTCAGGGTTCCTTCTTTGACTGTCGGCCTTGGTCCAGGATGGGGTGAACCGATGTTGAAGCTCTGAGATGGAGCAGCCCAACCTCCCTTCCCTAGTAGGCCTGATCACTGCCTGACGCTACTGAGCCTGGAGCCGGTGCTCCCTGCCCTTCAGCACAGTGATGTTGGCTTAAAAATTGGCCAAGAAGGAATTGCCATCTTGAAATTGCTGTACGCTCCATGAAAGCAAGTTTCTTGACTAACTCAGGGTTCTCCACCAACTAGCCAAACAGCTGACTCATAGCAGGCAAGCAGTACCTACTAATTGAATGAATGAATACCTTGGCTCCTCTGTAATTTTTAGGCTGATAGTATTTTTTATTTGTTTGATAAAGATTGATAATGCATCATAGAGTCCCTGTGCTAAAAAGGGCTGTCATTTATAGGTGATTTTGTTTATTCAGATAGAACAGTAGTTGAAGTGTTTCAGATAGATGAAAAGTATCCTGGTTGGGGAGGGAAAAAAATTTTTTTTAAATTTGTAACTTCAATAATTCTTCCCAGTGTTTAAAAAACCTTGCGGTCATAAAATCTTTCCGTATGGAAAACAACCATATTATAAAACATTTGGAAATTTTAAAAGAAAGAAAAAATTCACCCTAAAAAGTAAAGTGTAATCTTAACTTATTTACACTTTATTATCTGGATTTTTCCCTTTCATATTATTCATATGGCTACATAGTCTTGGGAAGCAGCGTGGTCCAGGGTAAAGTTGCCAGACTGTGTTGGCAAACAGGCCTGGGATTGAATCTCGGCACTGTCATTTGGGAGCAGAATGAACTCGAACAAGTCATTTAACCTCGCTAAGTTTTTTGTCATCTGTAAGAGAAAGATGGTAACAGTGGTCACCACAGAGCCTTTGCAGGTTATGCTTTGCAGGCTGGCGTGGAGTAACAACGTGGTGGGCCTAGATGGCATGTAGCCAGCCTTGCTGGCGCTGCCGTGCCAGTTGTTAAAGGAATTTGAGAGCCCTTGGGCCAGCTGGTAAAGAGTGATTGCCTGCCCCCAGATGCTCCCATGGCTTCTGCAGATGCACATGTACCCTTGCCCCTGCCGAAATGCAAGTATTACTAACCCCTGGTGTTACAGTCTGTATGCATTCCGCTTGGTGAGTGCTCATACCATGGTAGTTTTCATATCCCCTCTGCTAGTAACTCACCGATTTTGTTACATCGACAGAACTTACTTAATCACTATCCTCGGGGACACCTAGGTTGTAGCTGATGTTTTCAGTATTACTAATGCTGCTGTGGTAAATATCACCCATGTTTGCATCATAGAAGATGCTGATTTCCAATTCATTTTTTTAGTAGCAGATGAAAACCTACCTCCTCTCTGATGGATCCCTACCTGTTGTGAAGGCTGTTTACTAAACTCTTCCCTCTCCAGGTTGAATTAACTTCTGTACCTCTTGCCTCGGTCACTTTCTTGCTTGCCTTCTGAATTCACTTTTTTTCTCTACACTGCTCTTGAAGTGTGTGGCTAGAACTGGACCTGACAGGTTCATGAGTCATACCCAGGGGGGAGTGAAATGTGTTTTCATGACTCTTTTTCCCATCCTTTTACTTTTCAATTCTGTGCTTACTTGAAGACAGCCAAAAAACAAAACAAAAGCAGTATTACTAAGTGTTACTGTTAAAATGCCGACCAGCATCTGACTCAGCCCTTTCCATCCTATATTTGTCTAGTCTTGTGAGAAACCCCTAACACACAGTTTACTAGAGAGCAGTCTTATTTGTTTCTCATGTAGTTTCATGTGACTGAGCTTCTGTGTCCTGTCACACAGCAGGGTTCTTGTTTGGTTGTTTATTGTTTTGGCCAAGGTCATTTTGAATATTAATTCTTTCCTCCCTGCTGTGAAGTGAGACCTCCTCCAGAGTTTAGGTGGAAAGTGTAAATAGGCCTTGTTGCTTCTCCCACTGGGCTGGCCTGGCCACTCTGAAGGCACTCGTGTTGTTGGCCCGCCAGTCAAGGGGCACGTGGTGCTTCAGAGGGGAGGGGCAGTTTGATTAAGAGGAGTCCTGAACATGGTGAGGTTGCCCAACTGAAAAATAAAACAAAAGCCTGTTGAATCCACTCCGAAGACTCTTCTGTTTTTCATAGGTCTCACAATTATATTATTTATCGGATTATCTTTCTGTACTAAATCTTATGTGGTCAAGGGTTCATTTGGGATTAAATAAAAGACACTTGATCACATGCCAACTGTTCTGAGTCTTAACGGCTCAGAGGCTCACAGGGGTAGAAGAAAGTTGTGTCTGTTACCTACGCCAAGTTAGAGGGAAATGTACTTTGATCTTTCAGTTATAAAAAAGAATTGTGGGAAGATTGGGGAAATAATAAATAACGTCCTCTGCATTGATGATTAGGAAAAACTGAATAATATATGAGTATCTTCAATTTAAAGGAGTTAGAATAGCTTTAAATTTGATCCTCTGTTAAGGAATAATTTATATAATGGATCGTAAAGTACATTTGCCTCTTTCAAATGTGAAGTTAAAAAGGAAATAAACTAGGGGCACCTGGGTGGCTCAGATGGTTAAGCGTCTGCCTTCGGCTCAGGTCATGATCCCAGGGTCCTGGGATCGAGCCCCGCATCGGGCTCCCTGCTCCACGGGGAGCCTGCTTCTCCCTCTCCCTCTACTGCTCCTCCTGCTTGTGCCCTCTCGCTCTCTGTCAAATAAATAAATAAAATCTTTAAAAAAAAAAAGGAAATAAACTATACCTATGATTAAGATGATAATTTGGGTTTTGGCAATGGAAAGATGTTTTGCACGCTTTTGTTTGATGGCCTCTTGAGTTTAACTTTTCATTGTAAGATCAACTTAATGAAACACATGGAAGCATTATTCTACATCAAAATTCTGTACCCAGTTACCACAAAACTGCTGCTATTTTGGGGCACCTGGGTGGCTCAGTTGGTTAAGTGTCCAACTCATGATTTTGGCCCAGGTCATGATCTCAGGGTCATGAGATCGAGCCCCTGCTCTGGCTCTGCGCTCAGCGGGGAGTCTGCTTGAGATTCTCTCTCTCCCTCTCCCTCTGCTCCTACCCCCAATAAATAAATAAATCTTTTTTTTTTTTAAGATTTTATTTATTTATTTGAGAGAGAGAGAATGAGAGATAGAGAGCACGAGAGGGAAAAGGGTCAGAGGGAGAAGCAGACTCCCTGCCGAGCAGGGAGCCCGATGCGGGACTCGATCCTGGGACTCCAGCATCATGACCTGAGCCGAAGGCAGTCACTTAACCAACTGAGGCACCCAGGTGCCCTAAATAAATAAATCTTAAAAAAAAAAAAAAAAACTGCTGCTATTTTATTTGTGATTTTTATTTTCTGTTGAGAGTTGTTCAACTTTTGAAAATTAGTAAGGGCATCTTCAGATGACTAAATTTCACGTTAAATTTTATTCCATTGTCAATGTAAATTTTTAAGGATGTTTCTTGAGGTAAAAAAAAAAAAGAAAAAAGTTAATGTAAAGGTATCAACAGATATTAAAGCAAAGCTTAGTAAACTGACTTCTCATGGTGCCTGGGTCGCTCAGTCGGTTAAGCATCTGCCTTCAGCTCAGCTCATGATGTCAGAGTCCTGGGATTGAGTCCCACATCGGGCTCCTGCTCAGCAGGGAGCCTACTTCTGCCTCTCCCTCTGCTGCTCCGCCTGCTTGTGCGCTCTCTCTCTCTCTCTGTCAAGTAAATAAATAAAATCTTTAAAAAAATAAACTGGCTTCTTCAAGACATCTTGTATGACAGCCTTTTTAATGATATGCTTGGTTTTCACTGCAGTAGGTTATTAATAATGACTGCATATTTTAGTTACAAGGTTAGCATAAATTCCATTACAAAATATATTTTACTGCTTTTTTTTCTTAAAGAAAAAGTTTATTAAAATGCATGATGATGGCATTTTTACTACATCTTCACTTTTACAAACTTAAAATATAAAAACATGAAACTAGGTGGTTTTCATCATTTGGGAGATATTCCCATGAAAATACATATAAAATTGCCTTATCAACTAAAGCAAAATAGGGACACTGGATACATACTCATGTTCCTTCTTATTATTCACAATATCTTACCCACTTTGTTTTCCCACTTGTATTTTCAAAATTTCTACAGAAAACATGTACCATTTTTTCAGTAAGAATAAAACCGAATAAAATATTAAAATAAAAAGACATAAGGTAGTATTAGACAGTGGGGGGAAAAAAAAAGAGAGAGAGAGAAACTAAAGTATTGGGAGTTCAGCTTAACGTGAATTCAAATTCTGCCCATTTTACTGGCCAGTCTGTGATTTCGGGTCTGCTATGATGTTGCCACATTTTAATAAGCTACATTCTCTCTGTTGGTCTTTTAACTGGAAGCCTCAGTACAGTTGGTTGTCGTTGTTCTGCAGAGTCCCCGTGTACACTGAATTGGCGAGTACGAAACCATTGCTCCCAGGGAAAAGAAAGAGTTCAGCTCCTGCAAACCTCTGCTCACAGCATTCATTTTTGTTCATTGATCAGTACATAATCTTGTTTTATGTGCATTTCTGTTGAAAGACACCTTATTTAATGTATATTGTTGATTCATTAACATTGAGCTCATAACTCATGCCCAGAAGATGCTTATCTAACTCACATATTTTTTCCATAAGGCACATCAAAGCCTTCTTGTACTCAGGAACACTAGCCCTCTAACACTATGCTCGGGTGCTGTTCGAAACAGTGGAATCAACAACAAAAAACACAAAAGTGCAAAATGCATGGCACTAAATATACTGTGAAGAAGACACTTATTGACAGTATCAGAGCTGCAACAAGAAGGCAGAGCGTCCCATATTGGACCTCAGCTGGGTTCCTTAAATGTTCATCACTCTGTGCGAGCCTGCAGTTGACTGCAAAAGTGCCATGAGTAAGGGTTACAAATACATTTGAGTGAGTCATCAGATTTGCAAATATGGAATCTAGGAACAATAAGGATCTACTCTATAAGCTTTCCTGATTAGTGAAAACTACAGGACAGTAGTTTGGTGGTTTGTTTTTTTTTAAGTGTGTTGTCATCCTTGTTGCTTTTATGTTGCAATTTATAGCAACTTAATCATGGCAAAAATGAACTAAAGAAACAAAGTGGTTAGGCCTGAAAACCAACCAAACAAGAATATCTATGCTTGTTTGTTTGTTTTAAGAGAGTGTGCACGCACATGCCTGAGTGGGGAGGGCAGAGGGAGAGAGAGAATCTTAAGCAGGCTCCATGCTTAGTATGGAGCCTGATGTGGGGCTCGACCTCACGACCCTGAGATCATGACCTGAGCTGAAATCAAGAGTCAGATGCTTAACTGAGTGAGCCACCCAGGTGCCCCATGTGCTTGTTTGATTGTTGAGAAAAATAAAATGTAAGATTATCTGAGATACTGTAAAACTCTCATACTGTTACTTTTCTTTCTTTTTTTTTTTTTTAAGATTTTTATTTATTTAACAGAGATAGAGAGCACAAGTAGGCAGTGCGGCAGACAGAGGGGAGGGAGAAGCAGGCTCTCCGCCGAGCAGGGAGCCCAATGTGGGGCTCGATCCCAGGATGCTGGGATCGTGACCTGAGCCAAAGGCAGCCGCTTAACTGACTGAGCCACTCAGGCACCCCTCATACTGTTACTTTTCATTAAATGTCCGTAGTTCAGATGCCTGGTGTACAAGTTCCAATATATTATAAATGGAAAGTCCTCAAAAACAAGAATATAATTTTTGAGTATTGACATTTGGGTTGAGTGTCAATATGTGAGTCTTCTGGAAAAACCTCTTTTGAGTGCTTCATCCTACTAGGAATTTTGTTGCTCTGTCTTACTAGAAGTTCTATGTGATGATTACTTTTTTTTTTCTTTTTTTTTTAATGTCTAGATCTTTCTTGTTCTTTGGGGGTATTGGGTTCTATTCTGAAAATATTTGTATTTTAACACTTTTCTTCAGCTGCAAGTATATGCATTTTCTTATGCATGTTTACAGCACAAATACATGCATAAGTGATCATTTATTTTTGGCAACTGGAAATTGGTTATTTTTTATTCAAAAGACTTGTTTCTAAAGCAGGTGGTTTCACAGGATTTACTTATCATTTGACTGCTGTTTATGACACTATTAATTATCTTATAGATTTTGACTATGCAGGGCTCAGTCCCACGACCCTGAGATCATGACCTGAGCTGAAACCAAGAGTTGGATGCTTAACCAACTGAGCCACCCAGGAGCCCCAAATAAAGCTACTTTAAAATAAAGTGTTATATTAAAATATTTTCCTTGGCCTTGCGTGGCCTTAACAGAACCCTACATGAATCCTAGCAGGTCGATACTAGCCATTGTGCTCCAGCTGTCTTTTTAAGTGGCTAAAAGTAGTGTTGTCGCAGATGATTTTTTGTTTTGCTCATGTTGCTTGCTTTTTCTGAAGGGCAGGGATGTGTTTGTTGTGCCAAGTTCTTAAAAAGCAAGCAGGCTTGCCAACAGGTTTGTGGAGGTTCCCTGGGGATGTCATGAAGGAGGGGCGATTTGTAAGCTGGTGATAAGCAAGCCACTACAAACCCCTTTAGATGGTTGTCTGAGCGATTGAGGATACGTACTTTGTAGAGCTAGGAATTGTTTGTGCATAACCCTTTGACCTGCTATCCGGAAGATAAGCGTTTTGTACTCCAAAGCCACGGAAAGGGTAGTAAAGAATCAGTTGGGTGGTGCCTAATCCCTATTTTGTTGAGGAAGAGTCTTTCAGACAACTTCAAGCCGTGTGTAGTTTATTTTAGCATACTGTCAGGGACCTATGCAAACACTCAGAGACACTGCCTTCCTGTCTGCCTCCAACTTCCTCTTAGCCCATCTCTACCTCCAGGCCACAAGCCCTGGAAGATCGTGGAAGTCTACAGGTTGTAAGAAAAATTCCTCACAAGTAATTAAAAGTTGCCTCTAGTATGAGACTGAGAATTTTGCCCTTAATTAACCGGTTGACTTTTGACAAATTGCCTCCTCTTGAACCTCCTCATCTGTGAGGTGAGGGAGTTGGACAAGATGTTCTCCTCAGTCCCTTGCATCTCTCATGTTCTGTGGTTCTGTGGTTCTTTATTTGTTGAGGCTGCTACCAAAATTATACCATTTATTAAGTCCTATACTCTATCAGTGTAGACCATTTATCACTGGGCAACTAACTTGCAACACTCAGTGATCTTCACTGATGAACATTTAGATTTCATGACTGCTAAGGTGTTGCATTCTATATCATGTTTTAGCAGACTGCACACAGTACGAAACCCATCAGAGGTAGATAGCTGCTGACTTTTTTGCTTTTAGTTTTCAAAATCTAAACATGAAATTGAATACCTCTCAAAAATATTGTTGGAATGAACTTTTGGGAAAAGCTTTGACAACCCAAGAGATGAGATTAAGTCTGTTTTCCCTAGCTGTGTTCTGTGCACCATGCGCGGTAGACACTGGCGCCTGGTACGGCAGCCTCTGCGAGTGGGGGGACCTCAGAACTCCTGCTCCTTCGTTTGCAGCTTTACCATTCGTACTGTACGTGACTAGATTAGGTTGGAAGCCTTTGGCTACAGTTAGCAGACACCCCAACCCAGACTAGCTTGAACAATAAGGGAATTAATGGCTCATAACTAAATACAGGAGAAGGATGGGCCTCAGTATTAGTTCAACCCAGTGTCATAGGCTCTGCTTCTCTGGAATTCCAGAATTCCCTCAGCAGTTCTCTCCACTTCTGTTGGCTTATTTTTCAAGTTGTGCTCTCATTGTGCCAAAATGCCTGTAGCAGTTTTTTGCTTTGTCTTCACATATTACAGTGTTGGGGTTTCTCAGCCTCTGTATTATTGACACTTGGGGTCAGATAATTTTTTCCTGTGAAACTGTGCATTGTAGGATGTTTAGCAGCATCCCTGGCCTCTACCCACTAGATGCCAGTAGCATCTCAGCCCTGGGTTGTGATAATCATGTTTCCAGACATTGCCAAATGTCTGTGGTGGCGGTGGGGGGTGGCTCGCAAAAATACACTGATTGAGAACCACTAGTCTAAAGGAAGACAGATCATTTTGTCAGATGGGTATCTTAAGTATAAAGAAATTGTATTTCCTCAAAGACCCCAAATTTCCCCCTTTTGTCTTAGTGGCTCAACCTGGGTCACTCCCCATTTCTGACCCCATCACTGATGAGGGGGTAGAATTTCCTTTAGACTAATCAGGCCCACCACTGGAGCTAGAGACGGAATCTACTCCCCTGAGGCAGGTAACTGTTCAGGGAAGGGTGGTGAGCGCCTCCACAGAGCCAGTGGGAAGGGATAATGGAAGCCAGACAGGAGCCCCAGCAGTGTCCTTGACCCCTGCATTCTAAATTTGTCTTGCTTTTCTTCCTCTCAGTGAGGACTATGGAAAGAACTTTAAGGATATTACACATCTCATCAATAACACCTTCATTCGGACTGAGTTTGGCATGGCTATTGGTCCTGAGAATTCTGGAAAGGTGAGACTCATTCATACACATGAAGCTGTGCTTGAGACCACACGCAGGGCTGTCAGATAATAATGTTGGAACGGTCCAGTTGTTTACAGCAATATATTTAGTTTGCTATTGTTCATTTTAAAATTAAACATAATGTAGTGCTGTTCATAAAAGAATGGAATTCAGCACACAGTTTCTTTTTTTTTTTTTGTCCCTGTCCAAGATCCAGCCAAACTCTTTGTAATTATGTAGCGGTTGTTTGGCGTCACAATGTATAATCCACAAAACAACATTTTAGTCTTTGGGCAACTAGCTAATCTCAAGCTGAGCAGGCTAAATTCATAGTTATGATGCACTATTTCAATTTAGGATAATATTTGTTATAAGACTAATACTTGAGGAGTGCAGTACACCAACTAATCTGTTTTTGTAACTCTTCCTACTTTTGGAATTTTCTTAACGAATATCTGGTGATAATGGTGTAAAAACTTCTGTGTTTTACAGAAGTATTACACTCTGACTCTGAACTTTTTTCTTCCTAATCAGGTGATTTTAACAGCAGAGGTGTCTGGAGGAAGTCATGGAGGAAGAATCTTCAGATCATCAGATTTTGCCAAGAACTTTGTTCAGACCAATCTCCCTTTCCATCCTCTGACTCAGATGATGTATAGCCCTCAGAATTCTGATTATCTTTTAGCCCTCAGCACTGAAGTAAGTATAGTTGAGGAACTTGTCTTGCTTTTTCGCATTTTTATAGGCTCAAAATATACTCTTTTAAAAGAACCCTGTAGGACATGCCTTTATATTGGACTGCTTTCTAGTGACTTCTTAAGGCATGAATTATGTATTTTTTGCATTTTTTTCCAGTTTGGTAAAGGGCATGATTTTCATGTGCTATCTGTTCCAGACAAGTATGATATTTAGCTGTCATTACATGTTTTTTTAAGTGAGTAGATGTGGTGTGCTATCAGAGTAATGAACTAGAAAACAGTTTAATGTAATCATTCTTATGCTTCAGGGGACAAGCATAAATTGTCAAATTCCTGATGGTGTTGTTCCTTTCCTGTGGCCAAACCACATCTTCATAATTTTTTTTGTTAGTTCCCAGTATATAAAGCATACTGATTTCTGTCTTTGATACTCCTGTTTTAAATACCCAGAGTTTTAAATCTCTGCATCACCTACCACATTCCTATACTGTCCCCAGAAACCTGTGTCCCTCCCTAACCCTCCCACCTCTCTTCTGAAAGTTCTCTGGGGAGCACGTTTCACTTTTCCTTTCCAGGAGGACCAGTCTCCTTTACCATGGATTTTAAGGACCCAAAGTGGCTGAGTTGCTAGACTATGATAATCATAATTATACTTTACATTTACATGGGCTCTTTCTCATGTTATGTCTCAGAGTGTGGTCTCCTGACCAGCAATATCAGATAGAAACCCCTGGAGACTCATGTAATACGCAGTTCGTAGGCCCCAATCCAGACATAGTCCATCAGTGACTTTTGGTTTTGAGGTGGCTAGTATTTTTAACAGCCTTCCCAGCTGAGGGGCGCCTGGGTGGCTCAGTCGTTAAGTGTCTGCCGGCTCAGGTCATGATCCCAGGGTGCTGGGATTGAACCCCGCATGGGGCTCCCTGCTCGGCGGGGAGCCTACTTCTCCCTCTCCCACTCCCCCTGCTTGTGTTCCTTCTCTCACTGTGTCTCTCTCTGTCAAATAAATAAATAAATAATCTTAAAAACAAAACAAAAACAACCTTCCCAGCTGAGTCTGCACACTAACATTTGAGAGCCATTGCTGTGGTGACCATCGTGGGGACAAAAACTGGATCATCAATGTGGACAAGTCGGGCTGAGCAAAGGGGTGGCACAGGAAGGATGAAGGGCACTCGAAGAGCCATCTGGGCTCTGGGCCTTCTGTGCAGATCTTTGAGCAAAGGGAAGGCTGGAAGACTCAAGGAGGTCAAAGTTAAGTTTAGCCAAAGGAGGCCAGAGGAAGGAAACTGGCCTGCTGGGTAGGCTTCAGATCTTAAAGCAACAATTCCAGGAAGTTGGCCTCCAGCAAGCTGGAGCTATAGGCCCTTCAAGGGAGCAAAGAGACCCCCAGAGGAATGGACAGAATCACCAACTCCCCTTTTGACTACCCCATCGCCCTTACCAAGTGTCTTAAGATTATTGAAATGCTATCCTCAGGAGGAAGTAGCCCCAGTCTGCTTTTATACCTCAAATTTCTTCCAGTTAATGGTAAGTTGGAAGTAAAAATAATCAGGGCTGGGGCTCCTGGGTGTCACAGTCAGTTAAGCATCCAACTCTTGATATCGGCTCAGGTCGTGATCTCAGGGTCGTGAGATTGAGCCCCCGCATCAGGCTCCATGCTGAGTGTGGAGTCTGCCTAAGAGTCTCTCTCTCCCCCTCCCCCCTGCACCTGCTCTCTCTCACATAAATAAAGAAAATATTCTTTAAAAATCAGAGTCAAGAAGATGGACCAATGTGTATTAAAGTGCAAATAGGTGATACCAGACCCTTTCCTGTTTCCAAGTAGAATTAGGTAAATTAGAAATGCTGGGAGGTGAACGTTACCAGAGGAGGAAGGAGTTACAGAAGGAAGAATGGTGGGTGAGAGTGGAAGAGCACTGTAGGTAAATTCTGCCTAGATCAGCCCCATTTAATTTCAGCTGTACCAGGACATCTCTGTCCCACCTCCACTGGGTCTGGGCCCAATAGGCTTGTGTTGCCAATGTAATGGACATTGTCAGTCTTTATTTTACCGAGCCTCTGCTACATTTGAAAATATTGGCCAATCTCTCCTTTTGGGAACTTGGCTTGCTTGGCTTCTTTCTTACCTTCTAACCTTCTAATTGCTTCCTGGTCTCTTTTGTAAACTCCTGTCAGTCTACCCTCAAGTCCCTACTGCTCATTTCACTCTGAGCAATCTCTTCCACTCTGACCTTTGTAACTGCCCCTGTAATGTATAAGATTCTCAAATCCATATTTCTGGCTTCCTCCTAGGGCTTCATATTTCTGTCTTGCTGCTCCCCTATTACACACACACACACACACACACACACACACACACTCTGCCCTACAGGAAAAAGCTTCCAGTTCTACTGAATCTAGTTTCTAGATTCTTCCTGAGCCTATTCCTCACAGCTGTGGTTTAGGGCCTCACTAACTTTTTTTTTTTTTTTTAAGATTTTATTTATTTATTTGAGAGAGAGAGAGCATGAGCAGGGGGAGTGGCAGGCAGAGGGAGAGGTAGGCTTTCTGCTGAGCAGGGAGCCCGACACGGGGCTCGATCCCAGGACCCCGGGATCATGACCTGAGCTGAAGGCAGATGCTTAACCGACTGAGCCACCCAGGGGCCCTAGGGCTTCACAAACTCTTTTTTTTTTTTTTTAAAAGATTTTGTTTATTTATTTGAGAGAGAGAATGAGAGAGAGAGTACATGAGAGGGGGGAAGGTCAGAGGGAGAAGCAGACTCCCCGCTGAGCAGGGAGTCCGATGCGGGACTCCATCCTGGGACTCCAGGATCATGATGACCTGAGCCGAAGGCAGTCGCTTAACCAACTGAGCCACCCAGGCGCCGCTAGGGCTTCACTAACTCTTAATGAACTAATGTGGTACTACTTTTTCACTACTTTTCCTGCTTCTGGTCTGAAATCCATCTTTCCCATTGCCATCCAAGTATTTCACCTTTAAAAAAGTAAAACTGAGGGGCGCCTGGGTGGCTCAGTCAGTTAGATGTCCAACTCTTGATTTTTGGCTCAGGTTCTGTGATCTCGGGAATCTCGGGGTCGTGAGATTGAGCCCCGTGTCAGGCTCCATGCTAGGCATGGAGCCTGCCTAAAATTCTCTCTCTCCCTCTGCCCTTCCCCTTCTACCCCCCCACCCCCCACCCATCCCGTACTCATGTGCACATGTGCATTCTCTCTCTCAAAAAAAAAGTAAAACTGAGGGCCCTCTGTGAGCTGGCCCGCACCTCTTTCCCTAGCATTAGCCCCTTCTTTCCTCACCTTGGAATTTGTGTTCCATCAGTGTCTGAAGGCTTTTAGCTCCTTGCCCACGCTGTGATGTTTTATCTCCTCTCGCCTTGGCAAGTACTAGTGTGTATTTGTGCAATAACATCCCATCTCCCCATTTGCCTTCTTTTGGTTATACTGCTCATTATTTAACACTAATTCAACTGTCTTCACAAACCATCTCTGATGCATTGTCCCTCCCCTCCTTATTCTCACCCTGGAGACATGTTTCCATAACTTACCACATTGTATCAAATTCTTATCCACACCCCTTGTTAAGCCGGGAGCTCCTTGAGAACAAGGAGTGTATCTTATTGGTCGTTGTGTCCCCAGTGTGACATCTGGGACGGTGCCTGGCACACAGTAGGCAATTCATAAGCATTTGTTATTCTGAACTTCCAAAACCCTGAAGGGGCCCCCATCACCCGTGTGTTTGTGTGTGTGTGTGTGTGTGTGTGTGTGTGTTTCAGGTAGCTTGGATGGAACTTCAGTGTGTGTGTTTACTGTCCTGAATTATTAGATATGAATTATTAAAGGTCATATTAGCAGCTGCACAGGACAAAGCTGGAATTCTGATAAGTTATTTATAATCTTTCAGAATGGCCTGTGGGTGTCCAAGGATTTTGGGGGAAAATGGGAAGAAATCCACAAAGCAGTGTGTTTGGCCAAATGGTGAGTAACAGAAGACTCCATCTGTGCAGAGCCCTAAACCTTTCCTGACAGCGCTGCCAAAAGGCACATGAATAAATATTGAGCACTGACTACGTGCCAGGTAGTCTTCAGGGTGCCGGAGGGGATAGAAGGGGAAGGGTATGACACAGATCGTGACCTGGAGGAACTTCTAATTTTGCTGGGAAAGAATACTTAATCTCACTAAGTGTTAGAATATAAAGTATAAAGCAGGGCACATGAGTGAGTAGCTGCTGCCTGCAAAGGTTTATTCTCCATAAATAGTGACATCAGTTGGAATAGCATAAAATACAGCTTTGATTTGGGGACTTATGTACTTCTCTGTGCCCAGATTTATATTCCCCCACCTAGAGATCCATTTCAGTTGTGTGGAACGTAGCAAGGAATCAGGAAGAAAGCCTAGAGAGCTTCCAGAACTTCGGAGTCACCCTGTCTGTGCACCAAAAATCCTTCGCTTCTCTTGGTGGGACCACCCGCCACAACACACACCCAGGGCCTGCTTAAGATGATGCAGTGGAAGAGCTCTTTCTTGGGAGTCAGGTCACTTTCATTCGAAACTGGCTAGTCAGTGGCTTAACCTCTCTGGGCTTTAGTGTTTCCCTTTTATGAAAGGAGATTTATTGGGGGAGTTTCGGGGATGGTGGAGCAAGAATTGAATTAAAAACCTTCATACCACCAAAATTCTAATTATGCTCACACCCTTGTTTAGAGCCTCTTTCTTCTTTCTCTTTGACAAATTTCAGCAAATTTGTGAAGGTAGTTTCCCTGTGGATAGCAGGTTGGTGCCCGAGGTGGGGGCCGTGAGTGCTAACAAACAGCACACGCCAGCGTGAGAAGCCGCTGCTGGGAGCTGCACGGAGGTGGGGCCGATGACAGGATGGCGTGCTTTAGTGCGGGCTCAGTAACTTCCAGTGGGAGCGCTGTGTTACAGTGCCGTATGCTTGGTGTTCATGAGCGTGACCCTTAGTCCCAAGGAAGAATCTAATATTTAATGTCCTCTAATGTCAGGGAGATGTGTGATAGAGACATTGCCAAATATGTCTCCTGAAATCAAGATATTTAAAAAATATTGCTTAAAGTGGCCTTTTCCCAGATACTGCTGATAAAATGAGGTCCATGCAGCCCCACTGTGGTACACAGGCTACGTCAGCATTCGGTCTGTGTGTTTTCACGAACTGTGTTTGTGCCTTATATGGTTTTATCAGGAAGGAAGTCATTTTTAAAGGAACTAAGTTAAGAAGTTGCTTCACTCTCGATGGACCTAAAGTATATAGGGTGTGTTCAAGAAGACTATAGTAAATTTTGGTCATTACAACTCACCTTGATGTATGTATATCAAATCACCACAGTGTGCACTCTGAATGGTATTTGTCAGTTATACCTCAATAAGCCAAAAGAAACAAACCGAAAACTCATCTTTAAAATGGAACGTTTAGGGATGTCTGGCTGGCTCAGTTGGTAGAGCGTGCAACTCTTGATCTCAGGGTCATGGGTTTGAGCCCCACGTTGGGTGTAGAGATTACTTAAAAAATTTTAAAAATCTTTAAAAAAAACCCTAAAAATTTATTTTTAAATGGTATTTTATTTTGTATCCCCTATAATATTTTTTACTTTTGTAACTCATTTCTTTGATTAGTGTCTAAATATAAGATAACTGGACTTCTGATAACTATTTACTCACCTTTTAGAGTTTTGGTTTCTAGGAATTGACAGCCTGAAGTGCTGAAAAAACGTGCTCAGATCCCGCACCTTGTGCTGGTACCAATCCATAAGTACTATCAGGGTCTGAACCTACTTTCCTGCAAACTCCATTTCCAAGGTAGAACTTAAATAATTTAACCTCTGACCTAGGTGTCTATTCGAGATGAAAGAACTAAATTATTTAGCACATGCAAAGCACTGAACTAGGTTCTGAGGGGAGACAACAAAGCATAAAACTTCATACCTGTCCTGAGGAACCCAATAATGTAGTAGGAGAGAGAAGGCATACACTGTTGGATTAAAATAATTAAATAGGAGACAAAGGAGTGCCGAGCAGCTGGTACAGAATGGCCCAGTGCTCTAGAACAAAGATTCTCAACCTTGGCACTAATGACTGGACAATTCTTTATTGTGGAGGAGTTGTCCTCTGCATTGTAGGATGTTTAGCAGCATCCCTGGCCTCTACCCACTAGATATTAGTAACAACTCCCTGTCCCCCAGTTGTGACAACCAGAAGTGTCCCCTGGGGAGTAAAATCACCCCCGGTTGACAATCACTGCTCTAGAAGTTTGCAGCAAAGAAGCTTTCCAGTTGGAGCGCCAGGAAAAGTTTCATTGAAGAGCTAGATTTTAAGCTGGAGCCTAAAGATTCTGAGGGTAAGATTTGCTTACAGGAGAGAAAAAAGCATTTTAAGCCGGAAACGGGAACAGCAAATGCAAGAGGCAGATTTGGAGAGTGTAAACAGACCAGTCTGACCAGCTGGAAGCGTTCACGTGAAGAAGTAGTAGACTGGGGGAAATCCTGGTGCTGGGCTGGGGGCACCTTGACCAGTGTGGCTGGGAGAGTTAGCCGTACAGCATCCCAGAAGGCCGTTTCGCCTGGTGCCTATGGATGGAGCTTATCGTTAGTAGCCTTGTTTGGAGCTTTGTGACTGTGGTTGACAGTAGTCTTGAACCATGTCTTTTCTCTGTCTTTGCCTCTCTGTAGGGGATCAGAAAACATCATCTTCTTTACCACCTATGCGAACGGCTCCTGCAGTAAGTATATTTTAGTTCCAAATAAGAGTGTCCTGTTGTCTGTTCACAGTAGAATGTTCTGGGTTGTAAGAGGTAGAAACATCAAAGATCCTTCTATTCTCCTGTAATTTTTTTTTAAAGATTTTATTCACTTTTTTGACAGAGAAAGACACAGTGAGAGAAGGAACACAAGCAGGGGGAGTGATAGAGGGAGAAGTGGGCTTCCTGCGGAGCAGGGAGCCCGATGCAGGGCTTGATCCCAGGACCCTGGCCAGGATCATGACCTGGGCCGAAGGCAGACGCTTAACGACTGAGCCACCCAGGCGCCCCTCTCCTGTAATTTTAATAGCTAAGATAACTGTCAAGGATTTTTAAAATTTTGAAAGTACTGAGCCTAGATCAAATGAAAACGTAAGCTATACCCTAAATTTAGCAATGTATTTGCATAAAGTAAATACTAGGCTACAAACAATAACAAGTTGAAACGCATAGTGATTTCTGCAAAAGAGCATGGAGGTTGTGTTTGTGTTGGTGGTGGTTGTTGGCTTTCCAGTCCGTGGCACCGTTTCAAAGCAGAAAGCATGGTCTTTCACATTTATTCATTCCATTTTTTTCATCCATTGATCTGCACACCTGCAGTAGTATGCCAGTCACTGTCCTAAGGATGGAGGGAGCAAGACACCCAAGGCCTTCTCTCATGGGGCTTGAATTCCTGTAGGGCTATTAGAGGATTAGCAAGAAAACCAAAAACTCCAACGAGACTACTTAAAATAGAAAAAGATAAGTGTGTCGTGAAGAAAGCAAAGCAGGATGCTGGGGCTGTGACATGTTTGTGCAACACTGTATCTGAATTATGTAAACTCTGTCATTCTGTCCATTGCAAAACCCACATGTATAAAAATAAAACCCAAATGGGAATTCCCTGTGTCTAATGCCGTGTCATTTTACATTGTCACTTGATTAACAAGCATAGGATTAAAAATCCTTTAGCTATAAAATCAAGAACACTCTAAAACAGTTGTTTTGAACTGGAGGTTCACCAGTATGTGAAATTTTAATTAATATTTTGTCTTGTTTAAGAAGCTGACCTTGGGGCTCTGGAATTATGGAGAACATCAGACTTGGGGAAAAGCTTCAAAACCATTGGTGTGAAAATCTACTCATTTGGTCTTGGGGGACGTTTCCTTTTTGCCTCTGTGATGGCTGATAAGGTGAGTGTTGCCTCTTTTGGAGGTTCTGAAATTTCTGTAAATATGTCTCAAATGGACGCTTTTTACTACTAGTACTGGCAGAATTTCTTGCCTTTTTGCAGCGTTTAGTATCACTAACATTTGGAGGTGATTCTAGAGGCTGATCGATTCTTCTGGGCTACTCGGCACATCAGCCTGTTGTCACCACATGAATACCCATAGCCCCAGTGTTTGGACTTTACTCAGACACGTGAAAAAAAGCAATCCACTTGCTCATTATCCAATAATGACAATAGAAATAGATAACATTAATTAAGTACCTGCTATATTCTAGGTACTGTTCTAGGCCCCAGGAATATAGCATTGAACAAAACAGATAAATGTCCTGCTCTCAGAGCTTATATTTAAATATGGAATTAGACAGATACTAAACTAATAAATGTGACATTATAATACTGGGTAGTGATTAAAGCTATGAAGAAATCTATAACGGAGTAAGGAAATAGAATGTGCTAGGAACTGGAGCAGTCCTGTTTTAGATAAGGTGGCTTGGATGGGCTGTCTGAGACCCAACTGAAGTGAAAGCATAGTTCTGTGTACATCTGGGCTGAAGGAACAGTAAGCACAAAGACCCTCAGATTGGAACATGCTGGAAATATTGAAGAAAAGTGAGAAGGGCAGCATGGCTGGAGCACAGAGCAGGGTGGTCCAAAGAGGGGGAGCCAGTGGTCAGATCAGACAAGACCTTTATAGGCCAAGACCTTGGCTTTTATTCATGTGTTGGGAAGCTGTGAAAGGTTGTGAGCAGGGGAATGGCATAAGTTGGCTTCTGTTTTGACAGAGTAGGTAGGTGCAGAATAGCCTGACAGGGAGCAGGAATGGAAGCACCAAGAGCAGCTAAGAGGCCATGGCAGCAGTGAGAGATGGTAGGTTGTTAACACGGACAAGGGAAGAAGTGGTAAGATCGTGGATATATTGTTAACGTATCGCCAGTAGGATTTGCTGATGAATTAGATGTGGTTTGTGAAGGAATGAGAGGAACCAAAGATAACTTTAGAATCTTTGCCCTGAGCAACTGGTTGAATGGTGGTACCATTTCCTGAGATGGCAAGAGAACTAAGTTTGTAGGAGGAAAATCAAGAATTCAGTTTTGGGTATGACATGCCCACCGGATATCTAAGTGGAAATGTAGAGTAACATTTGGGTATATGAGTCTCCCCACATTATATGGTATATGAAGCTGTGTGACTAGCTGATATCTTCTGGAGGACTGAGCACGTGCTGGAGCACGCCAGCGACACTGGAGGGTTGGAAAGAGATGGGAATCCAGCACAGAAGACGGAGGGAGGGAGGTGGGGAATCAGACAGGGATGCCCTGAAAGCCAAGTGGAGAAAGTGTCTCAAGAAGGAGGAGTGATCAGCTGTGTGAAACTCAACTGAGATGCGGAATTAAAGGAGTCCTGAGAATGATCCACTGGAGTTGGCGAAGTGGAGGTGGCTGGTGACCTTGACAAGGGCAGTTTCTTCAGAGAACTGGGGTTAGCAGGCTGATTACAGTGGGTTCAGAGAGAACGGGAGTGGAGATGGGGAAGTAGACATAGTAACTACACATAACTCCCTTGAGCAGTTGCACAAAATCCTGCCAGCAACCCTGGGAGCAGATCCTCTTGCCTCAATTTGTATCTGAGGAAATTGAGTAACTTGCCTAGGGTCACCCAGAGATAGAAGCGTGGTGGGAATCAGACTGCCTGACTACAGAGGTGGCCTCCTGCGGTGTGTACCGCCACTGTCTACAAAATCAACATCCTACTGTGCGCTGCTGAATTCTCGTTCTTACCTGTAACAGTGAAAGTAAAACTTGAAAGTAAACTTCTAGGTATGAGCTAGAGAAGTAAGTCAAATGCACTTGTCACTGAACTTAAAGAGTATTTAACATTAGGAGGTACTGGGACTGATTCTTGTGCCCTGGCCAACTGTGTCTAGTAGGTACTTTAAGCTATTTATCAGAGAGGAGGTGTTAATTGCCTCCTTAGCAGACTCCTTTTAGCAGATAAAAACCCCCCCGGTCAGCTCCCTTATATTGGCCACGTCCCAGGCTGTGCACGTGACCTTCATTATGGCTGTTCACAGACACTTACTTCCTTTAAAGAGGAGACGTGTCACATCTCAACTTCCCTGTGATCTCCCAAGCATGGGTTTCATCTCCCATTTCTTAGACTCTTAATTATCTAATTCTTTGGATTATGCCAGGACTTTCTCAAAGGGACCAAACTTTTGTGCAACAGTCATCATTTTGAGAATTATCTGAGCAAGCATATGCCAGTGGCTATAAAGCCAGACCAGTGATGGCCCCATGGTACCCTTAGCTCTATTGAAGGAAATGGGAATGTCAGAGGTTGGGAAGATTATATCCTACAGGGCCATACCGGAATGAAGAAGCCAAAGAGGAAGCCAAGATAGCCTTACTTACAATAGAATGGATTGTTCTGAGGCCTGGAACTTTGCTAGGGGTTAGAAATTGCTTTAGTAATTGGTGCTGGGACCTGTCAATTATAACAGTTGTACCTAGTGAGGAAATGGATAATGATACTCATAATTATGAATAATAATGTTCCTATTCATGTCCCTGCACAGGGCATCTTGGCAGAAAATTAAAAAGATAAATATTGGCATTTGTTCCAGGATGCAACAAGGAGGATTCATGTGTCAACAGATCAAGGGGACACATGGAGCATGGCCCAGCTACCTTCTGTGGGGCAGGAACAATTCTATTCTATTCTAGCAGCTAATGATGACATGGTGTTCATGCATGTAGATGAACCTGGAGGTAAGAGCTTTTTTAGTGGCCCACCCTTGAATGCATGGAGATGGAAGCTTCACGTTTGACTTCGAGCTTGCTTCTTGCATGTTGACTTTTTCTCTTACCCCTAGGTATTTGTGTCCTACTAAATACACAGTCTTACAGATAATATGTAGTCTCTGTTAAGAAGGCCCCTTGTTTTGACTCTATAGTATGGTTTATGTGTGTGTCTACATAAACCTTTGAGCAGTGCTGCTCAAAGGATAATCAGAGGACTGATACTGGTTTGCAAACTCTTTGTTACCAAGTAAGTGCAGAAAGCAATAGCAAGCACTAAGAAACTCCTGTACCCACTTGACAAAGTAATTTTATATCTGTTGAATCTAATCATTAAAAAGTTGTGGATTATATTTTATCTATCTTTTGTATATCAGGCTTCTTATGATTAATTTTTATTATATTTTACAAATGATCAGTTTGTGCCATAATAGAAATTTAAAAATTGTGGTCCTTTACCAGGGCACTTGCCTGGCTCAGTCATAGTGACATGAGACTCTTGATGTTGGGGTTGTGAGTTCGAGCCCCACACTGGGTATAGAGATTACTTAAATAAATAAAACTTAAAAAAAATTGATCCTTCACCACAGAGAGTTTGAAAAGCATTGTTCTGGAATATAAAGAGTTAGAGATATGTATGATACGAATCTAAATGCATTGCCTCTGCCACCAGAATATATCTGGGAAGGTCTTCTCTGTAGCATCTGATTAATCCATCCAACAAACAGCATCTGCCATACTCCAGGCACCAAGCTGGGTGCTGGAATTAAAGGTGGACATGAAAATCACGAGTATCAAACCGTGATTAATTCTCAGGTCTGCATCTACATCATGAAGAGAGACCGTTGGCTAATGTCTGCAGTCAGTCAGTCAGTCATGCGTATGGTTAGACTGTTGTTTTCTCTCTGTTCCCTCCCCGGACTTAGTGTTTTTGTGTATTTGCCTGTTTCAGATACCGGATTTGGCACAATCTTTACCTCAGACGATCGAGGTGTTGTCTATTCCAAGTCCTTAGACCGACATCTGTATACCACCACAGGGGGTGAGACAGACTTCACCAATGTGACCTCCCTCCGCGGGGTCTACATAACAAGTGTGCTCTCAGAAGGTGAGTCTGGGCACAGCTGTGCTTCAGCTGAAAATGTTGGGAGTTGAGGTTTGTGGGGAGAATAATGGTCCTGTCCCCCCAGTAATGTTGCTTTCCTAGCCTACAAGCCTATCCCTGTAAATTCTGGCTCGCTCTTTATTTTGCATAAGTTATGGTAAATAGAACTAAAAAAAAAAAAAAAACAAAGCAACAGCAGGTAAAAAGAAAGACTTTTTGGGTTCTATGTTGTTTAGAATAAGTGTTAAATTAAAAAAAAAGTTTTCTATATTGGGAGGTTCAGGGCTAGAGGAATGAGCCTGAGTTTGAACCACTACCTGCTTTTCTCCTTGTAGAGGACACAACTGTAGCCAGCCAGCATTTCTCTTGTGTTCTACTCAGTGGTTCTGCAGAGCTCACCTTTGCTAAGGCCCAGTTATACAAATAAACACGTCACCCTAAAGTACAAAAAGGCTCTTAAGGTTTTGTTTAAATATGTATTTATTTTTTGGTAGGAGGTGGGGGTTGTTTGTTTTTATTTGTAAAGATCTTGCAATGGTCTGCAAGGTCCTAAGCAATATTGGCCCCCATTTCCTCCCTGACCTCAGCTCCCACCTCTCTCCCCTCTGCTTACTGCATTCTGGTCACTCCAGCCCTCTGCACTCACACGTGGTTTAGAGATTTGCAGGCACTGTTCTCTGTTTCCCCGGAGAGCTGCAAGGCTAACGCCATGCCCCTTCCCGTCTGTGCTCATATGTTGCTTTCTGACTAGAACCTGCCCTGGCTATCCCATTGGAAACTTGTCTGGCGTGCCCCGCGTCACCCCCCTCCCCCCCGCCCCACTCACGGACACACTCAGCCTCTCTTTAGCTGGGCAGGTTTTTCCCATAGCACTTACTGTCTCACATACTATATAATTTACCTATTTACAGCGTCTGGTGTTTGTCCCTGCTAGGATGTATTTCCCAAAGTTTTTTTTTTCTGTTTTGTTCACTGATAGAGTCCCAAAGGCTTACAACAGTTTTCATAGTAGGCACACAATAGATGTTTATTGACTAAATGAATTGCCCTTCATTTGCTTTCTTGTTTGATTTTCCTTGGACATCTCAAAACATATTGTCTCTGAATTTAAACCTGCAATAGTTTATGTCATTGAAAATAGAACAGGGAAGAAACATGTAGAAAAAAGAAAAGAAAAATTATAAGAGAGATCAGATACAGAGTAGTGGAGAGACAAAAACTAGGAATTACTACGCCAGACTTACACACATATATTCAAATCACATTCAAATCTTGAGAGTCCCTAAAACAAGCCTGGTATCCTGGCCTTATCTGAGGGGAGAATGGGATGCCTTCCCATTGTAGATTTTACTTCCAAAGCAAGCAAGCAAGGAGAATGGACATCAGCCTGTGTGTGTTGGTGAGGAGATAAAAGGTATCTTTTCAAGAGTATCAGTCTAGATGATTTCTGCCATCAGCTGGGTCCTATTGAGGTGGGAAGCCTTCCTCAAATATCACAGAGTGCTGCTCAGTTACTCACCAACACTGAGCCGTTTCGTTGGATGTTACAAGCTTGTAGGACTCCAGACTTCTAATGGTGTTATATTGTCTCAGGAGAGAGATATGCAATGAGAAACTGAACTTAATAGGGTGTTTCCAGTGTATCAGACTTAATATCATTCTTTTCCCATTCAGATAATTCTATCCAGACTATGATCACTTTCGACCAAGGAGGAAGATGGAAGCACCTGAGGAAGCCTGAAAACAGTGAATGCGATGCTACAGCAAAAAACAAGAATGAGGTTTGTGTCGTATGTGTTAGGAGCAAGGCAGTGGTTCCGTTCTGCTCTGATCGGTGCCAGGTCTCTGAATAACGGTTTCATAACATGATTAGGGTCCACAGCTACAAGTGGAAAGTTTGGAAATGAGAGTAATGAAAGGAACTTAGAATGCAGGGAAAGGAACTGCAAAGAAGAGCCAAAAATACCATGGATTATTTGTCTTTTAAAGAAAAACAAAACTAAAGGCTAAAATTTTGTGTCTTACTAAACTGCTGAATGCAGAGTAGAAGGTGGGCCTGTGATCATTTAGGAGTCAGCATGGCGGCCCTGAGACCTTAGGAATTCTACACGAAGTCATAGGCCGGCCATTCCTGAGCAGCGCAAAGCTGCGCCGGCCACAAACAGACGGACGAGAGCTTGGCCTTCTCTTCGCCACTGCCTGGGCTCCACACAGCCCGCAGGCGTGGATGGTGACTCTGCGCTGTGAAAGCCAGAGCTGACCCTTCTGAGGAGAGGCTAAGAATAGAGATACAAAGGCATTGCTCCAGGAGATCCCAGATTCCAGGAGGGATGGGTCTTGACAGGCAAGAAAAAAAGAAAAGAGAAACAAGCTTTGTGTGTGGCTCCTGCGGAATTTGAGAGGAGCTGGGGGAAACCCTGGGAGTTTTCTTCAAAAAGTGACAGTGTTGGTGGTTCCCGAGGTCTCCTCAGAATACCTGTGGTGGGTAGGCACTCTGCTGTTGTAGGCGGGATTTTGGTTTTCAGAACCTCAAACAGTGTGAGGTAGTGTCCCTGTACCCCCCACCCCGCGACGCTGTCTCTCCCTGCTCTGTACTCGGAAGTGCTGTGAGCCTCCCTCCCCATCCCTCTGCTCTGGCGTCCCCTTTAGCCTGGCCACTCTCACGCTCCCGTGCCTCTCCTCAGTCCGCTTCAGGGTTCCCCTTTGCCTGTGAATAAAGTCTTTGCCTCAGACCTGGTGAATGAAGGTCCTCTCCTCCCTGTCGGGTTCTCTCCTGCCTTTTCATTGTCATTGTCCTTCTTATCACCAGTATTTTCCTTATCGTAGCCCTCTGCTGCCCCCTGAACACCCTGCATGCACCCCTGCCGCTTGGCCTTGCCCACGAGATTCCTGGGGAAATTGTGGCTGATTTTCCCACCCCCTGAGTCATTAGAATCAGTGGAAATCCTGACCATCCTCCATGCCCGTCTTCAGTTAGAATTAACCCTTCGGGGCGCCTGGGTGGCTCAGTCGGTTAAGCGTCTGCCTTCGGCTCAGGTCACGATCCCAGCGTCCTGGGATTGAGCCCCATGTCAGGCTCCTTGCTCAGCGGGGAGCCTACTTCTCCCTCTCCCTCTGCTCGTGCTCTCTCTCACTATCTCTCTCTCTCAAATAAATGAGTAAGATCTTTTTAAAAAATAGAATTAATCCTTCCTCTTCATTTCACCAGTAGTCTGCTTGAACCTCTTTTTTATTGCAGTAAAATATATAACAGGAAGCTTTTATCCAATGCGGACCTCTTTTTAAAGCATTAACTTTCGGGGCACCTGGGTGGCTCAGTTGGTTAAGCGACTGCCTTTGGCTCAGGTCATGGTCCCAGGGTCCTGGGATCGAGCCCCGCATCGGGCTTCCTGCTCGGCGGGAAGCCTGCTTCTCCCTCTCCCACTCCCCCTATTTGTGTTCCTTCTCTCACTGTCTCTCTCTCTCTCTCTCTCTCTGTCAAATAAATAAATAAAATCTTTAAAAAAAAAAAGCATTAACTTTCATTGTGCTTTATAGCTAAACTGGTTTCTCAGAGATCTCTTTCTTTTAAAAAGATTTATTTGTTTTAGAGAGAGAAAGAGTGCATGCACATGTGGGGGGAGGGGCAGAGGGAGAGAATCTTGAAGCAGACTCACTGCTGGGTGCGGAGCCCCTCCAGTGCTCTATCCCAGAACCCTGAGATCATGACCTGAGGTGAAACCAAGAGTCAGATGCTTAACAGACTGAGCTACCCCAGCGCCCCTCAGAAATCTCTCTTAAAGGTGGGACTGGGTCTTACTTTGGATCACCACCACATCTTGTACAGTACCTGAAATATTTCAGGCGTTCATCAGGTTTACTTGTGTGGAATCATGCTTTAAATATTGATCAGAGGGGCGCCTAGGTGGCTCAGTCGTTAGGCATCTGCCTTCAGCTCAGGTCATGATCCCAGGGTCCTGGGATCGAGCCCCACATCGGGCTCCTTGCTCCGCGGGAAGCCTGCTTCTCCCTCTCCCACTCCCCCTGCTTGTGTTCCCTCTCTCGCTGTGTCTCTCTCTGTCAAATAAATACATAAAATCTAAAAAAAAGTAAAAATAAAAACAAATAAATATTGATCAGAGGCTTCCGTATAATGCAGGAATAAAACAAACTAAGACATTGCACATGAGAAAATAATTGCATAATTTGCTCCCAAATATACTAATGCATTTTGGAACCAAGAATATCCTATTGGGACTATAACTCAACAACAACAAAAAAAAACCAAATTAAAAATGGTTAAAGGACTCTCTAAAGAAAATATACAAATGGCCAGAAAGCACATGAAACGATGTTTGACAGCACTGATTATTAAGGAAATCCAAATCAAAGGCACAGGGAGAGATCACCTCACACACACTAGAATGGCTACTACCAAAAACAAAACAAAACAAAACAACATGTGTTGCTAGGGATGTGGCGAAATTAGAATTGTGCACTGTTGGTGGATATGAAAAATAGTGCAGTGACTGGGAAATAGTATGGTGGTTCCTCAGAAATTAAACTTAGAGCTGTCATATGATCCAGCAATCCCACTCCTGGGTATACATCCAAAAGGATTGAAAGCAGGGTCTCGAAGAGCTATTTGTATGCCCATGTGCATAGCAACATTATCCACAAGAGCCAAAAGGTGGAAGCAACCCAAGTGTCCATTGACAGATAAATGGATAAGCCAAATGTGATATATACATGCAATGGAATAATATTCTGCCTTAAAAAGGCAGGAAATTCTGACACTTGCTACAACATGGATGAACCCCAAGGACATGACGCTCAGTGAAATAAGCCAGTCGTAAAAGGACCAGTATGGTTCCAGTTCTATAAGGTACCTAGAATAGTCAAATTCATAGAAACAGAAAGTGGAATGGTGGTTCCCATTCTGGAAGGTCTGGAGGTCAGGGAGGAGGGGGACTGGGAATTATTGGTCAACAGGTGTAGAGTTTCAGTTTTGCAAGATGAAGAAGTTCTGGAGATGGATGGTGGTGATGGTGGCATAATGTTGTTAATGTACTTAATCCTACTGAGCTGTACACTTAGACACGCGTGGTTAAGATGGTAAATCTTATGGTTTGTGTATTTTACCACAACTTTTTTTTTAAAGAGTATCCCACTGAAGTCTGGGTTCAGTTCAAAGCTTCCTTAGAAGGCTCTGTGAGATGAGTAAAAAATTACACCTTTGGTTTTAATCTAAGCTTTGGTTTCTTTTCACAGTGCAGCCTTCATATTCACGCTTCCTACAGCATCTCCCAGAAGCTAAATGTTCCAATGGCCCCACTCTCAGAGCCTAAGGCCGTCGGCATAGTCATTGCCCACGGTAAGCAGCCCTCCCCTCGTCTCCGCGAGAACCGTCAGCTGAGCACACTGAGACTCGGTCGCAGCCTTGAGTCCTGTAAGAAAACCACCATACAGGACTTCTCCCATCCTTCGTAGAGTCTCTTACATGATAATGATACTTTGGGTTTTCCCTAGAGAGAGAAACATGACTTCTCCCTTTCCCAAGTTTTGTGGTCCCTTTTTTCTATTAAAAGAGACATGATGGGAAATCATCAGAGTAAATTCATTGAAAATTATTCTCTCAGCGGTAAATCCTGTTTCATTGCTGATTTTGGCTGATAAGATGGTGGATTGTGTTGCAGGTAGTGTAGGGGATGCCATCTCAGTGATGATCCCGGATGTGTACATATCAGATGATGGGGGTTACTCCTGGGCGAAGATGCTGGAAGGACCCCACTATTACACCATCCTGGATTCCGGAGGCATCATTGTGGCCATTGAGCACAGCAGCCGCCCTATCAATGTGATTAAGTATGCATGAGCTCTGCTCCCCCGCTCTTATCGGCAGAGAGGGCAGCTGCGGGACGCTTTTTGGTTGTGGGGCGGATCCGCGGGGTGGGGGGCTGCTTACAGACCCTGGTTCAGATGTGTGCGTTCTACAGAATGGTAGGGATCGTTCTTGGAGGGCTTGCAACCCACATTCAATGGCTGTGCTTTTTCTTCTGACTTCCTCTAGCAAACACTTTCCGTCACTTTTTAAAAATACTCTTCTTTCTCTCCGCAAGAATCATACAGAAGTGTTTAAGCACTTTGGATGGAAGATGACTCCTTAAGTATAAGTTATATAAAATAATTTCTGTTTGTGTATTTAGAAGCCCATTTTTTCCTATGAAGAATCTTATGAAGGCATTTTCTTCTGTACTCTTTGAATGAATCCCTTTTACCTACCCTTTTAACTGTAGGCATTAAAAATTAATATAATCATCAGTCAGTAAGCCATCACCTAAATCTGAGGGTTTTCTCTGGTTTGGGACCAGACAGCTAGAGTGGTCTCCTGATACTGCCGTACGTGTGGATCGTCTGTCACCATTGTCCTCTGACTGCGGTTTCAGGTTCTCCACAGACGAGGGTCAGTGCTGGCAAACCTACACGTTCACCAGGGAGCCCATCTACTTTACCGGCCTGGCCTCAGAACCTGGAGCTCGGTCCATGAATATCAGCATTTGGGGTTTCACAGAATCTTTCCTGACTCGCCAGTGGGTCTCCTACACCATTGATTTTAAAGATGTCCTTGAAAGGAACTGTGAGTACCTCCTTTGACATTTTTTTTTAAAGCTTTTATTTATTTATTTGACAGACAGAGAGACACAGCGAGAGAGGGAACACAAGCAGGGGGAGTGGGAGAGGGAGAAGCAGGCTCCTGGCTGAGCAGGGAGCCCGACGTGGGGCTCAATCCCAGGACCCTGGGATCATGACCTGAGCCGAAGGCAGACGCTTAACGACTGAGCCACCCAGGTGCCCCCCTCCTTTGACATTTTCTACCAGAAACTTATAAGCCCATTTTCCTAAGTAACCAATTTCATTTCTTTTAGCTGGAATAAGAAACTGCATAGGAAAGAGGGTTGAAGAATGTTCCACGTGGGTAATCAGGCAGTGGAATGGTATCAGAAATGCTACTTCCCTCTTTGGACTAGCACAAATGAGGACCACATGTGTGATTTAAATTATTCTAGCAGCTGCATCATAGGAGTAGAAGAAGTGAAATCCACTTTAATAATAATCTAATCCTCTTAACATATCCAAAGTATTGTCATTTCAACATGTAAGCAATATTAAGAGTTATCAAAGAAATATTTTGTATTTTATATTTCTTCTCTGAGACTTCAAAATCCAGTGTATATTTGACACTTACCCTTGTAGTAAATCTCAATTCAGACCAGCCATAAGTGGGTAGGGCTCTCACATAGGAGAGGGTAGCTTCATACTGTCGGAGCTCTGTAACGGTTTAGGGGACTTCTTTCTGCTTGTAAGGATAATGCATGTTTGCATTTATCTAAAATTATTTTATGACATTTCAGGGGTTTTCACCCTTTTAGATTGTAGAAGAACTGTAAAGAGAAAGATTTAGAGGAAAGCGTGTTGCAAAGAGCATCTGACTGATTGTGTCCCTTATCAAAATGTTGAAGTGAAAAAACAACAACAACAAAAAAAAACATTGAAGTAAGAAAGTTTTCACGCAGAGTTTTGGCTTGAGTGTCAGTCACAGGTGAGGCTCTAGAATGGCGACTGGGTAAGCATGGAGCCCACACTGACTGTTTCAGAGTTTTGTGACTTCAGGCTGGAAGGCATGTTAAAGGCACAGAAAATGGCTTCAGGAAAGGAGGTAAAAAGAATCCCAAGCAAACCCAGGCCCCAGTACCAAAGATGCTGACATTTTACTGAAAAATATGGAGGATAAAAGAGAAAACTGGAGAAAAGGTCTCCGCCCTGCGAGCTGCAGTTTCTTGTTGTTGTGCTCCGATAAAAGACTTAAGGTTTCAAGTCACTGTGGTTGAATTTAGGTCCTGTTATTCGAGTGTATGATGGGTCAGTTTCCTCAGAAGGTTAGTTCAGTGACTCCTGGAGGAAGCAGAGCACTCCGTTTGGACCTTACTTTTCTACAGGGTGTTTAAATATGATTTAATACCCAAGAGTCATTATTATCCAGATTCATTAAGTAGGCTGTAAAGGAGCTGGCTTATGAGTTTTCCCCTCGTAAGGCAGCTCTACAGTTATCCCTAAAGTTTAACGCCATTGAAAGATTTGGTAAGCACCTGCTTCTTAAGAGGCTCCATGCTGGTCTTCCTATCCCAAAGGATAAAAACCTAATCCACAGTCTTTAAGGCCATAGCCTTTGAGTCATTTTTCCAGGAGTGGATGATCCGACTTACGAAGCCAGACTGACTATCATCAACAGTCTACTAGAAAGCCAGTCAACTAGAGTAAAAAGTCTAGAAAGAGATGGTCTTCCCTTCTGTTTGAGGCAAGCTAACCCATGGTGAAATTGAACCCATGCTTTTGGCTAATTGGTATCTTGTCCTAAAAGGAAACCCCTGGTCACTTACCTGTGGCAGCCCCTGCTGACCAAGAGCACAGGTGCACAAGACATGGGGAGAGCAGCCCCTCTGCTCGGAAGGAAGCTTAGAGCTGCTCCATCCAGCTGCCCACTTTGGAACAAATAAGGTTCTTCCTAATACTCAAACGGGTGGTGAGACACAAAGAAGCCTCCTGTGGCATGAGATGCCAACGGCCAGTAGGTGCCAAGTCCTGCAACTTTTGCCTGCAGTTCCCAAATGAAGCAGTAGCATGAGTCAGACATCCCCGTTTCCCCTCCTTGTTCTGCTTTCCACCCGGCAGCCGCCTCGCGCGCCTGGGTGCGGGGCCAGGTGGGGACCTGGACAGCCTGTCTTCTCTTTAGGTGAGGAGAAGGACTATACCATATGGCTGGCTCACTCCGCAGACCCTGGAGATTATGGAGACGGCTGCATCTTGGGCTACAAGGAACAGTACCTGCGGCTTCGCAAGTCATCCGTCTGCCAGAACGGTCGGGACTACGTGGTGACCAAGCAGCCGTCCGTCTGTCCCTGCTCCCTGGAGGACTTCCTCTGGTATCCGTGTCCCTCAGATCCCTGTTAGCCCCCTTGGCTGTGCGGGAGGAGGTGAAAGGCAGCTGTCTTATAGGGCTTTCTGCCCCAAGGGTGGAGAGCTACTGCTGCTTACTGAGGAGATGGAAGCACAGAGAGGGGATCCAAAGTGATTAGTAATGGAACAGGTGAGCTACCACACCAGGCAGTCAGTTGTTGGACAGGGCCGGCGACAACCCCCAGGAATCCTGGCCCGACAGCAAGGGGGAGAGGTATGTAGGGAGGAAGAGAACTCAGAAACCTGGAGAGGAGGCGACAGGGCAGAGACCCCCGGGAAAGGCAGTGCAGGAGCCGGGAGGAGGCTGGACTTGCATGTGCTCTCTCAACACTGACAGCCTGAGTTCAGCAGGTAGAGCACTAGGTTTCAGATTGTCTGCAAGACTGAAGGCAGGGAGTGCGGTTCTGTCCTGAGACAGGAGGGGACGTCGGGGTACTGAGGATCCAGATGTACCATCAAGGTCTAGAGGCCATCGAAGTAGACTCCCTCGAGTTCAGGACCATCCAGGCTACAGGGTCAGGTGCACGGCTGGCATGGAGTTAGGTGATTGTCTAAGGGGCAAGGCCGTCCCCAGGTCTCCAAGAGGGATACTGCTTCCCGTGACAGCCAGTAATCTTAATGGAACTCATTTCTTACAAAACACACGGGCAGGAAGTAAAGGTGAATCCTGGAGGATCTGGAAAAGAGTGCAGACAGACAGCGGTCGTGTCCTCTCATGTCACATTCTCTAGAACTAGGAATATGGGACTGAGCGAACCCCCAGGCTGACGGGTGTGCCCCCCCCACAGACTGTGTGGCTCACATCTGCATGTGGAATGGGCCAGGGGTGCCCCCCTCTGTGTTTCCATGGGGAATGGGATCCCTCCGATGGCTGTGGTGTCTGTCTAGGGCTAGAGCTTGTTGACACTGTGACACTAGAGAGGGCTGTCTTCGTCCTAGATGGCGCACAGACTGGGCTCTCAACTACCCGGCCTTCTGCTTTCCAGACCTGCTGTGCTTTGTCGGGGCCGTGGCCATCATACGCGGGGCTTCCTCTGCCTGGGAAGTCTTCCCACATTCCCTGCTTGGCCCCCAGGCTTGGGGGATTCCTACTTGGACTTTAGTACTTAGCTCACTTCTCCCCTCCGGAAAGCCTTCCCCAGCTTTCCCTCATCTGGGCTCCTGCAGGACGCCTGTTGCTGTGTTTTGGTTATCGTGGACAGGCTTGGTTCCGCCATTACACTGCCGACTCCTCAAGGGCCTGTTACATTTGATAATCACGTAGTCGTCACGCTAGCCCCTGACATTTACGGGCGCTCACTCTGTGCCAGGCACTGTCCTGAGCCATTTACGTTTACCCCCAGTGGCCCTCTGAGATAGGGACGGTTGCCATTCCCATCTCACCAAGGGAGAAGTGAAGGCTCAGGGAGGTCATCACTCCCTTGGCCACCGCGGCTCAGCCGGAAGCGGTAGAGCTGGAACGTGCACCGGCGGCTCGGCCCTGGAGCCTGCACGCCGTACGGCCCGTGCTTGAGAAATGTGTAGTTGTGAGTAGGAAGGGCACTTCCTCCGACAGGTGGGATCCCATACCTAGGATTTTCACCAGCACTTTCCCCCTGCTGGAGGGGTGGTGTCTTCGGCATCTTTTGTTCTCTTACCCTGCTCCCTACATTTTTGCCAGAACAGCCCTGAAGCACGGGCAGCGTCCTTGCATCCCCCACACATTTGTTTTGCGTACTTGCTGCACTCAGGGCAGTGCAGAGTGACAATGGAAAGTTTGTTCTTGACGCTCCTGGTCAGACGCACAGACTTAGGCTGTGAAACGGTGCCTCGGGGATTTAGCGAAGGGAGAGGCCATCCCATCGCGAGCTGAAAGGAGTGGCTCAGAGAAGGCTTTGTGGAGGAGGTAGCATTTGAGCTGAGCGCTAGGACTTGACCTTGCACATCTGGGAAGAAACAAGTCGTTAGAGCCAGTGGACCTGTGCGAGCGCAGATACCCGCCAGCGTGCTCAGGAAGGGTGTGCTGGGAGATAGGCCGTGAGGGGAAGTCGCAGTGGTCACGATAAAGAAGCGAGCAGGGTGCAGATGGGGCAGGGCCAGGCTGACTTTTCAGCTTAGATAATGGAAGGAAGGTAGTGCCGTGGACAGACACAGGGCAATTATGGGAGAGCCTGGCTTGAAAGAGACTACGTGATGTGTTTTGAATGCTTTATTTATTTGAGATTCTGTCAGCAGACTTAGGTAGTGACATCCAGCAGGTACTTGGAAATGTAGGATCACAGCTCAAGAGAGGTACACCCTGGAAGTTTTAGCTGCAACAAATAGTTAGGCTCACGAAGGGAGAGCAGATAGAGGGCAAGAGAGCCAACCGCAGACGGGGGCAAGGGTCTGCGTTTGCAGGTTAGGAAGGTGGAGGCGCAGGCCGTGCGGAGAGAAGCAGGAGAGCGCGGCTTTGCGGGGCGTGGGCAGGCGCGGGTGGTGTGTCAGGGGCCACAGCACAGGCCAGGCTGCAGAGGGCTCCCTAAGGTTGCGGGACTAGCGCGTCCCAGGGCCCTCAGGCATTCGTCTCCAACGTCGTCGTAGAGGGGGTTGAAGTCAAAATGCACAGAATAAAAAGTAAACGAGTATAACAGAACGAGTATGAAATATACAAAATACTCTTAAGAAGTTTGGCCAGTGAAGAAGAAGAGGGAGAAGGAAGAGCGTATGCACAGGCTAAGGAGCAGCCCCAGGTGAGTGGGCCTGGTGGTCCCTCCGCACGGGCCCTGGGCAGTCGGGGGGGCGCCAAGGATGCTCACGCAGGGGGTCAGCCTTGGAGAGGAGGCAGCGTGGTACTTCTTGGGGGAAGCAGAGGAAGGAGAGCCGATGGGAAGCACTGTGGAGAGATGGGATCGGATGGAGGGCAGGACAGGCATTCACACTGGAGACAAGGATCATCTAAGAAGCTAAGAGGGACAGAAGTGGGGCAGGTAGGAAAGATTTGACATACACCCTGGGGTACGCCACCAGAGAACATAACAGTGAGTGAGTGGAAGGTAAATAAAAAGATGACTAAGCCCCGTGGGTTCAGATCTGTCACTGGCGCCCCTGTTTCTCAGTGTCTTAGTTCTCAGTGTGCGAGTCCCCACCCTGCTGCAGTCGGTCCCTTCCTGGAGCCGCTGCTGTCTGGGCAGGGCTCCTTGCTACTGAGTCCCAAGTCCACCGGGCCTGCTTCATAAGCCCCTTGTCCCCCAGTTAAGCCTTCTCCATGTCTGTCCTCCTAAGTGGACCTTCGTTACAGATAACTCTGAGCTGCCTCCGTGCGGCCGAAGACTAGAATATGAATCTGCCACTGCCGCCGCACAAAAAACCTTCATTACTAGTCACTTCACTGTCTTTCAGCAACTCTGAAAGATACTTTATTTGCTGACTCTTACAGTGATTTTGGCTACTTCCGTCCAGAAAATGACTCCAAATGTGTGGAACAGCCAGAACTGAAGGGCCACGATCTGGAATTTTGTCTGTACGGCAGAGAGGAGCACCTGACAACAAATGGGTGAGGCAGCTCTCCTCCTGAATCGAGACAGGCGTGTCCTCACCGTGCAGAGTGAGCCCCCACTCACAGCGCCCCACACCTCCGTGCAAGCAGTCTTCTAAAGCATGCTAGGAAAATACTGTCTAACAGAACTTTCTGTGGCGCTGGAAATGCCCTCTCATCTGCTGTGTCTGATATGGTAGCCACTACCCTGTGTGGCAACTGAGGCACTGACCTAATTTTACTTAGTTTAAATGTAAGTAGCCACTGTATTAGGCAGTGCTGCTCTGGAGGGGACACAGCGCCCCCCCCACAAATACTCCCCCCTCCCATTTTTGTACCACGTGTTAATGTGCTTTCTTTGGGTCACAGTTCTTTGGCCCCATCTCTTAAGGCAGAAAGGTAGGCATGCCTCTGCAGCAAGGCCAGGGGATGCTTGGTCTGTTCAAGGCCTGAAACTACACAGACATCCCCAGAACATTCCTGTGGCTCTCCTCTCAGGCCTGAAAGGTAGTGGAAGTTTGAGAAGCTTTTCTGCAGCTTTTCAAATCTTGTTTTCAGGAACGAGGCAAGAATCCAGGAATACATCCTAATGGTCTGATAGCAAATTGTCTCTGCCTTTTCAGGTACCGAAAAATTCCAGGAGACAGATGCCAAGGTGGTGTGAATCCAGTCCGAGAAGTAAAAGACTTGAAAAAGAAATGCACAAGCAACTTTTTGAGTCCTGAAAAGCAGGTATGCTAAAGTAGATCTGGTTCAGGTACCAGTGGGATTTTGTGTTCTGCCAGGAACAAAGGGACAGCTTTAAGAATTTTATTACTGAATACAAAGTGGCCAAACTACTTCGGGCAGGCTTCGCTGTGCACAGGAAACCATTGGGATGGAGGGTGGGTCACACACGATGATAAACTCCCTACTAAAAACTTTTTCATTGGGGGAACAAAGTAGAATTCCGTAAAATTGTTTCGAATCTTGGGAGCATTGGGTTGAGGACATTTCTGGGGCTGAGAGTCATTTACGGAAAAGGCTTGAAGTCGGGCAGTTAAGGGTGGGAAGAGAGGAGCCCGGGGCCATCGTTTAGGTGGGCTCTGGCCTGAGTAACGCTGACTGCATTCATACTGGACAACTGAACTATGATAGCAATGGGTTTGTGACGTGGGAGCAAGTTACGGGGCTGATTACAGCTCTGCAGTACTGAACTGTCTGGTGAGGATGTGGAAAATGGTGAAGAGGAAACCTCTTGATAAAGAAGCACTGGACCAGCAGTGTGATTGGGGCAGTCAGCTGTGGGCCCCAGTTTCCTAATCCATAAAATGGGAGCTGGACAATCTGCCGTCCTCTCCTCTCTGGCCTTCTAAGGGATGAGGGCCTGACATGGGCAGGATTAGGAAGGTAGCGGGAGCAGAATGTGTGGGTGTGTGTCCTTGTCTGGGGGCAAGTTCCCTCTCCTCTGCACCCGACCCTGCACTCCTGGTGGCTGTCCTCAGAATGTGTGTGTGTGTGACTGCACAGGACTCCCGCGCCCAGGGACACAGCATGTCCCAGAACCCAGCTCTGCCTCCTCTTGGAGTCATTGAAAACACGCACTCCCTATCTCCCACCCTGCAGCAGGTTAGGTCCCACTCCAACAATGATATGAAAAGGCTTATTTGTAAAAACATGCCAGAAATTAAGTAAAAACAAGTGTCTTTGTGTTGCATGATGTCCTGCCTGATCCGGCTTTGGCCCAGCTCCTTCCCAGGTGCTGGCCCTGTTCCAGATTCGTTCAGCCCACTGTTCTCATGCTCTCCCTTTCCTGCTGTGCCCCTAAGTGCTCCACAACTCCACACAGCTAGCAGAAAACAGCCTCAATTGCTTTTTGACCTAGGTCTCTGCCGAGGCTCCCAGGGTAACCCGGACAGTAGAGCCCCTGAGTTTGGACCATTCTGGCAGCTTTGGGGCAACCAACATTCTGGTTCCCCTCTGCTATCGGTGATGCACTCCTGGTAGCACTGAGACAGTCCGTTGCGGGGGCTGGGAAAGCACGAGGGGCCTGGAGACTGCAGACCATTCACTGAGAAACCAGGGGAAGGAGCAGCCTCATGGAGCTCGGTCCTAGAAGGTGCACATCTGAAATTGTCTGTGTTTTAATTTGTCGAGAACTCCAAGTCAAACTCTGTTCCAATCATCCTGGCCACCGTGGGATTGATGCTGGTCACAGTCGTAGCAGGGGTGCTCATTGTGAAGAAGTACGTCTGTGGCGGAAGGTAAGGAGCATGGAAGTCGGTCAGAGGTACTGAATTCCAGCCACAGAGTCAGCCCAGGGCGTGTGGTTGAGTCGGCCCCCCTAGCAAAAACTGGCTAGTTGAAGCGATGTTCCTGAAGCATCGGGCCCAGAACTTCTCAGAGCTTCTATCTGCCACATGCCAACTATGGGCTGTGCTTCCTGTGTGCGGGCCTCGTGCTGTGAGTGTATACAACTCAGAAAACCCCCAGCCTTGTCAGAAACGCATCCCCGCTCGCCGCGTGAGGGTCACGGAGGTTTCCCTCCCCAGGTTCCTGGTGCATCGCTACTCTGTGCTGCAGCAGCACGCAGAGGCCAACGGTGTGGACGGTGTGGATGCCCTGGACACGGCCTCCCACACTCATAAGAGTGGTTATCACGACGACTCAGACGAGGTGAGACCATTTCTTCTGGAGGGGTGCTCCAGAAGTACAAGAAAAGAGTGTTTCTTTTCCTGTTAGTAATCAAGATCCGATTAAGGCGGAGGAGGGTGTGAGCCAGGAGCAGGCACTTAATGACTGTAAGAGTTGGCCAGCCCGGAAACCAGGTCATAACTTTCAAAAGAGGAATTTTTTAGTGTGCAAATAATATGGTTTCTGTTTCTCTTCCCAGGACCTCCTGGAATAGCTCCTCAAAGGAGCTGGGACCGAGCACAGATGATGGAACCGCAGTACCTCTCACACGCCTGACTTGGGGGAATAAATTTCCCGTTGCGAGGGACCCAGCTCTGTTTCTGCTGCTTCCACCAAGCCAAAAGGATCTGCGCTGAAGAAATGCAGGGGGGGTGGGGACCCTAAACACTCTCACGATTGGCTCTGAGAAGAGGGGGGATACTAAATTCTTTAACTTTTTATTTCAAATTCTGTCTTTTTGCAAAGTATGGGTTCTTTTGGTTTTGTTTTTGTTTAGTAAGGGAAATGAAATGGGATTGGAAGGGAACGTTTCACTAACCGCCCCCCCCCTTGCATGTTTTGCATGGCGCCTGCCCCCAGGGCCCCAGGGCACCTGCCAACCCCAGCATCAGCTCTCACAAAGTACTCGGTGCTGTCCCCGGGCTCTGCTGGCGACGCGAAGCAGCCGCTGAGAGGGACTCGACAGGGACTCGGGGCTGCAATGACTGGCCTGGCCTGGCGGCCTTTCCGCGGCCAGGGCCAGCCCTGCCCTGAGAACGCTGCAGGCCAGCCCCTCACACATATGCCACCTTTGCTTGCTTGCTTTTTGGGGGACCATAGACCACAGTGGTGTCTCTTCCCCTCCACCTCTGTTTAATTAGGCAATACCCTTGTTAATTGCCCTTTGGCAACTGACTTAACCATGTGCTTCCAAGACACTAAATCAGGAAAACTTAAAGGGCAATATTTTTAACTTGGGGCAGGAAGAAGGGAGCAGCAGGGACTTGACTAGATTTAGCAACTATTAAAGGACAACTTCTTGCTTCTTCCAAGATCTTGCCAGCCGTGCTTCGTGTTTGTGCCAGTGGACTTGCTCAAGGACAGGGTTAGGGCTTGCCCTGGTTGTCTGCCCAGGCTGAGTGGTCTCTCTGCTGGAGCCGAGGGAGGGTGCCCGTGGTGGCCCCTGAGGACCGAACATCACAGTCTTCCATGTCCTCTGCCACCTGTGGGCACAGTGGTGAATCCTTAGGACGGCCGCTTACTTGCTTGCTTCCTCTTGGACTGCTGTTGTACGCGGAGCCAGGACTAGACATGTTTTCAGATTTATAGGCTGTTTTTTAAAAATCAGGATTTTATTACCAGGCTCTCCTCCTCACCCATTTTTCCCAGCTTGGCCAAGGAATTTGTTGGCATAAAACTTTTGGCGGAACCAACTGAAAACACACGTCCAGTGTAGGTGATGTTTTACGTGATGCATTAAGTTCATACTTTAAATTTAAGGAAGTTTTCCATTGGACATTCTTTCAAGTCAACAGTAGAATGTGGTGAGGTCGATTTTTGGGGGGCCACACAGTAATGGAAAGCTGCAATAATTCGTTTTAATACAGCTTGAACATTTGCTATCCAGGAGTATAGTATAGTACATTTTTGGTCTTCGCATCCCTACTGTGCTGGCCACAGATTCTCCCAGTGATTATGATTGGGACATTCTTTGGTAACTGCCATTTTGCTGCTAGTTCATTTTATGGTGATAAAGTCATGAAAAAGTAAACGTGCCAAATCAACTTTTGTCAGAATGCATGAGCAGATGGCTGCGTTCTCTCCTCCCCAGAATGGATTAAGCAGCAGCAGGGAAAGTGGGAGTGGGGGTGGATGGAGAAGGTTAGAGACTTCAAAGCTTGCAGCAGAACTAAATGAGTCAGGGAGCTTCAGTTGGGAAATAAAGCTAGGACAGTTTTTGTGAAGAGAATTCGTATTTGTTCGAGCCAGAGAGCACTGGTCTTTTGGGAAAAAGACCATTTTCCCAAAAGTGCTCATTCATTTTGCAGAGTTTTTAAATTTAAAAAAATTCCAAAGATAGACCAGCTCACAAATGATAAAGCGTCAGTCTTTCTCCTGGACACCCTCACCTCCTGCCCAAAGTGATTTTGATGCCCAGCCAAGACCCACTTTTGCTGCACTCCTTCTCCCGGGGTAGATGTGCCCTCATTCTCTGATTTGTTTTAGGATGCAGGAAAGTTAATCTTCTTCTCTAATAAGGTGAGAGCGCTGTGCTTCTAAGGGTATCTGGGATTTCTGTAGAACTTGGCAGTTTTCCAAGCACTTTCTCTTGGCATTATGTCCCGGGAAACTTACATTGTCAGTGAGACTTTCTCTTTGAAGGCAGGGGTTTGTCATCCCCATTTTTCAGGAGACGGAGCTGAGGTACAAAAAGTGAGTAAATTGTCCAGGTCCCTGTGTGCATCGTGAGCAGTGCTGGTCGGCTGTCTTCAGAGCTTTTCAATGTTTTTATGCGTGCAGGTGCTGTGGGCCTGGAGCAGGCGGGGCTCCTTGTGTACGGAGGCCTCGCTGTCCTTTAGGATAGGGGTCAGTGGCATCTCTGTGGGAGCAGTAGGGAGCACCTCTTTGCCACTGTGGTAAACAGAAAATTTTATTCTCCTTTTTTTCGTGGCTGAAAAAGAAAAATTAATGGTAATTTTGAATATGTGTTTAGAAACTGTCCCTCTCCTAGTTGTGGGAGTGAGCTCTCCCTTGATGAGCCACCCTTCTCCCTTCTTGTTTTCTCGTCCCCGTCTGGCTGGCTGGCTGGCTCGGTTGTTTGGAGGACTGCTAACAAGCCTGGCTTCCCCACTTCATTGGCTAGTTAGCTTCCTGTCTCTGCCCGCTCACTCACAAACGTACGCCCTCGGCCGGAGAGTATAACCGCCTAAATCCGTGACAGCTTCGAAGAGAAAACAATCTTTAATTTGTCCTACTGACGTTAGGTTAGGAGCATTATCTTTGAAAGTAAAGTGTAGCTTATCATTGTATAAAACCTCAGGCTTGATGGTAGGAGAAGAGACGATTTCTGGAGGTCTTAGCGATAGGATTGAGCATTGTACGATACGTTGGACATAGCCGTCTACAGCGGTCTGAGCCTTTAGATCCAGGCGGAGAACTCACCATCCCTCACCTGTGACAGGCGTCTTGGACCTACGGGGGCTTTCGGTTTTTAATGACTCTAGAGGCCAGGGGTACATGCACCTGGGCTGGTATTTGAAGGGGGGCACCACTTAGGAGAAGAAAAACGTCTGGAGGGTTCTGGCTATTCTAAGCTGGGCTCAGGAGATTGAATAGATTAGCTATAACTGAAATTTAGAATTTGGCATCTGCCTCTGAGTAGGCTTTCCGGTGTATACCTCTCTAATTCCTGGGTTTGCCTCTGGGCCTCTCCATGTCCAAGCTGGCCTTTCGTTCCTGACACCTTAGTACCAGGCTGGCCAGCTCCAGCCCCTGTGCTGGCTCTCTAAACCACAGCTGGTTCTCCCGTGGCCTTGGTCACAGGGCCAGGATACAGAGAGGAGTGCGGGGTGGCGGGGCTGGCCGAAGTTTCAGTCAGTTCTCTATGTTCTAGGCCAATCCTCCAAGTAGAGAGGTCCTTTTATCCTTCGGGAGAGCCCTAAAGAACCCTGCCTCTATATGCAGTGGTTTGGAGCTCTTCCTGCTCATTGTTGGTACATCCTCCTCGCCCCATATGAAGCCTGGATACTTGGAACTGCTAAAATTGGAGATTCAGCTTTTCAACTTTGCTACTTATCTGGCCTCAAGCAGGGAGGTAAACATGGACTTAAATGTCCTTTGAACAAAACCAAAGTGTAAGATGTGCCGCATGACGGAGTGCTAGGGAGGGCCAGACCTTCAGCACTGGCCTTCAGCAGGTGCCAGACATTCTGTTTCATCTGCCACCCGTGTGCCCAGCAGCTCTGGGAGCACCGTCCTGCCTGAGCAGCGCCGGGCCTTGCGCTCATGGAGGCCAACTGACATAGCAGGAGCATGTTGATTCCTTGGTTATGTTGCATTATAACAATAAGAGTCAGAACATTAATTTGAAACTGTCTTCAACAACTTGCTGTATGCATTTTTTCACGCCAGTACATTCTTAAGCATCCTTGTTTATATAGAATAACATAAACTAATCTGTACCTTTATATATATATGTACATATATACATGTATAATCTGTATAGTGTACATGTTAATGATTTATTGATATGTCCCAAATCTTTCATGCAGCCCTCATCCTCCGCATGCCCTCGGTTTGTGGTCGGGTACTTGAATGTTCCCCGAGGATCCTGCCCACCTCCCGTGTTTGGACGTCTAGGGAAGGAGGGTTTTGGTCGTACCCTCATCCTCATGCACAGAAATGCTCAGGGTCCCCATGTGCCTGTTGTTCAGCCCTCTCTTGTCTCTTGTTCCCTTTCTGAGCATGTGGTCCCTCCCTGCCCTGTAACTTCTCTGCCCCTCCCCCAGCTGTGGGACAGCTGCCTTCCTACTGAAGTGTAAAGCAGTACTAACATCATTACTGCATGTGCGCTTAAAAACCCAAGTCTTCTGTTCCCTTGGGACAGAAAATTGCATGTGGGGTGGGATAATCAAGTTTCAGTGACCCATGTCAGTTACACAACAAAGCCAGATCCCATAGCAAAATTCCACAAAATGGAAATCAAACTTAAATTTCTTTATTAGCATTGTGTAAATAAATCTGGATGTGTTTAACTTTGTACTGGTAATTTTCTGTATATTTGCAATATTTGGGCTAGAAATAAAACAGACTGGACTTTGTTACCTGACCTATCGAAATGGCTAAGCTACATTTTGTTGCCATGATAGATTTACCAGTGTTTCTAGCTTCAGAAATCAAACTCCAGCAACCAGAGAATAAGCCAGGTAAAGAGCCAGGACTGCCTTGGTAACATGAGAAGTATTAGGTAAGTTGTGGGGGAAAACTTAGTTTTTCTTGTTCTTTACACCCCTAAAGGTCTACCTCCCATGGGTATTTGTAGCACCAGCTTCCCCGTTCTTACCCCACACGCCCTCTCAGGGTGTGAGTGCTACCCACTTCCTCTGGACACAGCGGCATAGAGTGATTGTCCCGAATTAGCTGTTCCTCAGGCAGGTTTGACAAGGGACAACACTGAAAGCTTAAGTTCAGTACCTTCCCAGCTGCCTCTCAGATTTCTCTTGCGGTTCTTGCTCATAGTCCTGCCTGGTCCGTCTCATTGAAGGACCTTTCAAAGAGTTGCAGCTTTCCTTTCTCCCCAAATATTTCTTTTAGGAGAGGTTCCCGTCCTCCCTTGAGCCTTGAGCCAAGCCTTGAAGACTGCTTCTCAGCCTGCCATCCTGGGGGACATTTCCAATGAATACTTACTCTGACATCATGATCTGAAGACGACAAGGCAGAAGACCTTGCTCTGAAGGAGCCGGCTCCTTCAGAGGAGCTGTCCCTGGCTCCGGCTATCTGGCCAAGGAGTTCCTCCCCCAAGAGATCGTGTATGGTAGTTTTATTTTCAGGAAGTCTAGCCAACCTAGTGTCCAAAGACTGACTGCACCAGAATCACTAGGTTGCTTTTTCAAATGCAGATTCCTGGACCCCACCCAGACCCATTAAATTAGACTTTGTAATGGACAGACCCTAGGAGTCTGCATTTTTAACTTGATTCTTTTACACCTTTATTGCAACAATGGGCTCAGACTGAAAGTCTAGGCCAATTTCATACCACCTGGTGTGGGGACTCTGTGCTTTTAAGGGCTTTGGCTGGGTCAGGCAAGAGAAATCGGGCAGAGGCCTTCACACTAGTTCCGATGTGGCGCAAGTGCGGCCTCGGAGGTCAAGCTCCGTAGCGCCTTCCTCCGCCATCCCAGCTCCTGATAAATAGGTTCCTGGGCCGGAAGTGTGTCTGCAGGCTGTCCTGGCCCTCAGCCCCGACACAAGCTGCAAAGAGGAGCTTTCACACCCCAGAGGAGCACAGGCGCCTGGGATCCTATCGACTCTGCCTCCAAATTGAGGGCTAAAGGGGAAAAATGAGTGTAAAGAGCCCATTCATTCAACCACACTCATCTTTTTTTTTTCCATAAAAGAAAAGGGTGGTGGGAAGGAGGAGGGGGTATGTGGGAACTCTGTACTTTCCATTCAACTTTACTGGGAACCTAAAACTGCTCTAAAAAGTAACGTCTTTACACACACACACACACACACACACACGGGAAGGGATGCTGGTTTCTGGAGCTACTGAAGTGAGGATATGATAGGAAACCATTTAGATGCAGGGTACAGAACATGAGGAATGATGGCTTGGTGAGCCGAGACATCATGCAGGACCTTTAGTATGTAACTAACACGGTGGTCTGGCCACTTCCTTCCACTTAATCATTTTCTCCTCAACACAGTCATGGCATCATCATCCCTGGTCTCAGAGCCCAGAGCCCTGGGGTTCAGAGTTCGTGATTTGCCCAGGGTCACCTAGCTCATGAGTGAGTGGCACAGCCAGAAGTCACACACACGTCCTCCGGCCTCCTGCCCCGGGCCGCCTCTCACTTTGCTGGTGCTTTATCTCAGAGGCCCACATGCCGGCCTGACCTAAAAATAGCTCACATTTGTGGAGCACTTCATCGGCTACATTCTGCTAAGCACTTTACACAGATTACCTCTCGTAATCCTCGCGACAACCCTATGGTCATTATCCTCTCTGTTTTACAGGTGGGGAAACAGACCCGAGAGAGATGTGATATGCGGCAAGTCACACAAGCTGGTGGGTGATGGAGCCAAATGTGAGGCCAGGTAGTCTGGCTCCGGAGTGCCGACTCTGCCTTCCACTGCCACTAGGGGGTTAGACGGAGGGGATGGGGACAGACCCCCGAAAAGGGCGAGTTGGCAAGACCTTACAGCTCGCTGACTGTGGAGCAGAGAGAGAAGGAGCCCTTAAAGGTGTGCCTGTGAATCTGCTAAGCCTGCTGAGCCAGGGCCCCATTGTGTGGTCTGTGTGTGCAGTCAGGGGAGCTGTTGGAAGCTCAGGCCCCCCCCTCCCTCCGCAGTGCTGTACGAGGGCTGTCCCCTCAGTCCTCCTGCGGCTATTCTGGGCTGCTGTCTGATGTCCCTCTCTTCCCCCGTCCCTGCTTCAGCCCTTCTGCTGAGAGTAGCCGGGTGGGAGAAGGCCAGGCCAGTTACATAAGCCTGTGGCTGGGACCCTGGGAGACCAGGCTGGAGAGCAGGTGCTTAGCCCCTCCCTCACCACCAACAGTGAAAATCTCCCGCTGGAGCCCAGCCTTGGGGTGGCCCAGCATGGAAGCAGCCACGGCTCTGGAGGCGGCCTCGGGATCCACACTGAAGGTGAAAGAAATGAGCCCAGCCGATGCTGAAGGACCCCCCGCTTTATCTCAACAAGAGTCCGGCAGCCCCATTCCCCAGCTCCTGTCCCTTATAGATGGTGACCTGGGGGGTTGGGAAGGGTGAGGCGGCTGGGATGGTAGGAGTTGGGGAGGTCTCCCTAACACCCGGCTGCACCTCCTTAGCTTTGTGCAGAGGTGAGCGACTTCATGGGTGGTACCTAGGACGGAGGAGCATTAGTTGGAGCCCCCACCCCTTTCCTTGGTGGCTTCTTATTTGCTGCTCAAGTGTCTCTGCTAGGTTTGTGCTTTTTAGCTGAGAAGTCAGTGAATGGTGTTTGTGGCACTTTACAGTGACTAAAAGTGATCTGTTTATATTTGTACCTGTATAAAATGTCTGTCCCAGGGACCGAGGACCAGATAGACTAATACCAGCTAGGAAGGGAATGAGGGGTGCGAAGGTGGCCGTCTGCATTAGAAGGGGGAGATGAAAAGCTTCTAGCAACCAAGAGGCTGGGTGGTGAACAAACAGTGCATGACACTCTGCCTCTCCCTGGGCAGTGCTGGGGGTCCAGGACCTACCCTAACACTCCAGCTGGCTCCCAGAGAAAACCCCAGCCTCTCGGGTTCTGAGGCCCATGGAAGAAGGAGGACCATTGGCCTCCCTTCCCCAGTGGTGTCTGTGGGCCTCGAAGCAAAGAGGCACTTTTGAGCCAGGAGGTGGTGGGTGGCCCTGCCAGTCCCGGGTGTCCCTGCTGGCGGCCCAGCCGCCCACTCCCCAGCTGCCCCTGGCTGAGGCCTCTGCAGCTAACAGCTCTGTGAGCTCTGTGATGTTCACTTGGGCTGTCGCCACTGTGCCTGGCTCGGCCGGCTAGAGATGGAAGGCAGGAGCCCGGCTTTTTCCTTCTCCTGTGCGGTAACTGGGAGGAGGGACCGCAGGCACCTCGCACATTTAAGACAGTTACCCGCACAAAGTCTGTGCTTTAGGCCCCTTGACATCTTGAGTACAGGGGATGCAAAGACCGCAAGCAAGCAGCTCATGGAACCCCAGCGTAGGGAGAGGTAGGAGAAGGCGTGATCTAGACTCTGCCCAGTGCCCCCTCCGGCAGCTCTATGCCCTTGGACAAGCCAACCAACTGCTCAGTTTCAGTTTCCTCCCTGTAAAATGATAGTAATATCTGTCTAGTAGGGCGGTTGAAAGAATTGTTGAGATGATCCAGAGTGCCTTGGAAGAGGTCAAACTAAGATGTGAATAGATAATAAGATATTTCCAAGGCAGGAGTGAAGACTGAGTCTACCTGCAAATGGGGCTGGGTAGGGAAAGTTGGCTGCCTCTTCTCATCCTCCTGGGAGACGCTGAGTTTTCGGGAGCTGTTTGAATGTCACAGGCAGAGAGCCGGTTGAATTTGCTCCATTGAAAAGGAGCTTGGGGTAACAGAAGTTATTGTGAGCACATCAGGCTGGGATGGTCTTGAGGCAGAAAACCAGTTCCTTCCCCCAAAAGGTCCAGGGAATAAGCCACAGAGTGAGAATGAGCGCCGGGACTGCTGACTCCCGACTTGGCTGATCTCCCTAAGACCCTGGGGGAGGGCATCCAACTCACCCACGCTCCTCCCTCTGGCTGTGAGTGGATGCTGTGGGCCCTGGGCTCCTGACAGCCCCTGGCCGGCCGCCACAGTGCAGCCTCAAGAGCCCCCGTCTCAGGACCACCAGCGCCAGCAGCTCGATTCATTAGCCTTCCAGAGGTCAGTGATCGTAAGCACTGCTTGTGATACTTTGCAAAGTATGTTCGATTCTGTTATCTGCTTAGAGAAGATAGGAGTTCAAATCCTAGCTCTGTCCTGTAACCCTAGGCAAGTCGGTGCCCTTCTCTGGGCTTCCATTTTCTCATCTGTAAATTGAAGGATAACCTTTTGATGGCTATGGACCCCTAGGAAAATCTGATGATGTCTGTGGACTCTTATTCCAGGAAAAATACTCGAACAAGTTCAGGGAGCTCACAGAATCCCTGAAGCCCATTCAAAGGTCCTTCAGGGTGCCATGGACCTGGCCTAGATGGTCCCTAAGTCCCTGTGAGCTCCAAGAACTTTTTCTTCCTCTTAATGCCTCCTCTACCTGATGGGGAGCACCACGGGACCCAGAGGGGCCCCTCAGTGAGCGTGTGTGTGCATGGGAAACGGAGTAGGCACCAGAGGCAGAAATTCATCTGCAACATCAAAATAACCTGCAACTGGCCAACACTGAGCTTTTAGTCAAGAAAGCCTGCTCTGTGGCTAAATAAGCAGAAGTAGGTGGCCGGCACTGGGAAACAATTTCGGTGTATCCTCAGCACTACGCAGAGGCACTGGGTCTTGGAGGCAGCATCGGTGGGAGGCTGGCGGACAGGCCGCACCCCTGCCGTGGAGAAGAGGAGACTCTGAGACCCAGAGGAAGGGTCCATCTGCTGATTTCAGAGTAACTGCATCTCCTTTCAGTCCAAACTATTCTGTGTCTTCCAGGCTTGGGAAGCTGGAGCCCGTGCCCGGGAGCAACCTTCCTTCCTTTTTTCCTTCTTCCCTCCCTCCTACTTTCCTAACCTCTTTCTTCCTTCTACAAATATTTCTTTTATGCCTATTATGTGCCAGGCACTGCTACAGAAATAAAATAGGCAAAAATAACTCCCCTTGTGGAGGTTCCATTCTAGTGTAAGGAGATAGACAATAAATAAACAAATAGGATATGTAATATGTCAGAAATGTGCCGAAAAATGAAGCAGAGGAGGACAGAAAGTGCTGGGTGTGGGAAATATGTTTGCTATTTTAAACAGGATATTCAGTTTCAGTCTCATTAATAAGGTGCTATTTAAGCAGCAACTTAAAGGAGATGAGAGAACAATGCATGCAGATATTTGAGGGGAACGTTTCCATGCAGAGAGAACAGTCAGTGCAAAGGCCCTGAGGCAGGAGTGTGCCCTATGGATCAGGGCCACTGTGCCTGTAGCAGCGCAAGGGAGATAATGGTAGGTTTGGGGGCAGAGAGCTAGCAGTACCCTTGTGAAGACTGGCTCAACTCCGAGACTGATGGGCAGCCTGGGCAGGGTTTTAAGTGAGGACCGACATGATCAGATATAGGTTTTTAGGTTTTTTTCTGACTCCCGAAGTTAAGAATAAGCTATAGGCAGGCCTGAGACACTAGCAAGGTCATCAACTGAGGATGAGGATGAGGGAGAAGGTATGGGGGTTTTAGAAGAGGAAGGTATCCAGTTGTCACCCAGGAGAATAAGGAGGCTGGGTGGACCTAGGAAGTCTGGAAGAATTGCCAGGGGGCCATTGGGAGTTAGTGGCCATCAGCCTACAGTCAGCCTCGCTTGTATTTTTCCCCAGTGTGCGGATGTGGGCACTGAGTGGCTGGAAAGCATTTCACTGGGGTTGGCCATGGCTAGGAGCGTGCAGTGCAGTACCAGAGGATTAAGGGATCTGAGCGGGTACACAAGGGAGTGGGTGTAATGACTGGACTGCAAGTTGGGTGGGAGAGAGAGTGGTAACCGAGAGGACGACAGGGAGTGCAGGGGTGGAAAGGCACGGAGCAGAGATCTCAGTGGTGCGCAGGGTCGCTGGTGCTGGAGAGCAGAGCTCTAGGGGCAGAGAGCGTGCTTGTCAGGGAATGCCCGTCCATGTAACAAATAGGCCTCAGAACTGAAGGCTCAAAAACAATAGATGTTCATTTCTATTAAAAAGTTTCTCTATTTATTTCTATTAAAAATAGTTCTGCATGCAATAATTCCAGGCCCCAGGCCTCTCCCCTCTTGTGGCTCTGCCACAAATCTCAGGCAAGTGTTGCCTGATTCTATGTCCTTCTGTTTTTTTCTGACCTTAGTTTCACAGTCTTCACGGAGCTGACACTCCTGTCTTTCACAAGTGATTCGGAGGTCACCTTTCCTATGGTGCTCCTCCAGACAAGTTTCTTTTCTTTTTTTTTTTTTAAGATCATTTGTTTTATTTATTTATTTTAAAAGATTTTATTTATTTATTTGACAGAGAGATAGAGGGCACAAGTAGGCAGAGTGGAAGGCAGAGGGAGAGGGAGAAGCAGGCTCCCCACTGACAGGGAGCCCGACGCAGGCCTCGATCCAGGACCCTAAGATCATGACCTGGGCTGAAGGCAGATGCTTAACCGACGGAGCCACCCAAGTGCCCCAAGACCATTTATTTTTGCGAGAGAGAAAGAGAGAGAGAGAGAGCACACAAGCAGGGAGAGGGACAGAGGGAGACGCAGGCTCTCCACTGAGCAGGGAGCCCGATGTGGGGCTCGATCCCAGGACCCTGGGATCATGACCTGAGCCGAAGGCAGACGCTTAATGATTGAGCCACCCAGGTGCCCTCCAGACAAGTTTCTGATAAGGCCAAGGCCACATACTGTTTCAAAGCCATAGCTTGCCTTGTGCATTTGCTCTTTTTGGGTGGCCATTCACTCTCACAGGCACATGCATGCACACACACATGCTCACAGTCTCGCACACTTGCACACACTATCTCACACATAGGTGCACGCGCACACACACACACACACCCTTTGTTCTTTCAGTGTGTCTGTCTTACTCCTTCACGCTCCAGGCCATAAGTAATCATGTCAACGTGAGCTACACAGCCCTTAAGAAATTGCTGGAGGAAAGTCTTTAACGGCATGAAGGGAAATTTTGAGAGAATATGAACCCTTATTTCCCAGGAACATCGAATAAGGAAATGGGCATAAACTTCAGAATGGAATTAGGGTAGAATTAAGAGGAATTTTCTAATCCAGAGGAGTCAAGATCTTTGGACTTTAAGTAGTAGTCTCCTTCTCTGCTAATTTTCGAGAAAGAATTAGACAGCATTCTGTCTGAGAGAAAGGCCGTGCTGAGAGCAGCACAGCTCAGAAGCCAATGTCTCTCAAAGGACTTTTCTCAAAATGCCTTTTCCCCAAGACTCTATGATGGAAGAAAACCACGCTCAAAGTCTCAAACTGGTCTCAGGAAACCCAGGCTGTGCCGTAGGGCTCTCATCTTTGGTTCACATCTGTCCTGGGCATCTGAGGAGCAGAAAGACCTTGGGCGTCAGGGAAAAGCCACGTTTCCCCAAGGTCGGTACAATCAACACCTCTCTTGATCGCGGATGTGTGAAAAGAGATGCCCCAAATGAGCCCTCCCATTAACATTCTTAGCAAAGGGGCAGACTGCTCGCTTGCTCAGGCACACAAGAGGGCCTGGGTGGAGCTGGAAAAGAGCATTCTGCTGCCCGGGTACCTGCAGCAGCCAAATACTCCCCTGCCACCTCCCGCACTTTGTCAGCTGCTTTGGCCTCAAGCCCACCCTCTTTCTCCCCCTGGGGGCTGGGAGCCTGCTGGGAGCAGAATCCTCACCTACCAATCCTCAGACTCACAACATTCTACTAAGTTTGTTCCCTGTCAGTTCATCATCTTGTCAGGGAAGCCCTCTTATCAGCAAAGAACTGGCAGGGGAGCCCCCCCGCCCCCAGGGAGGAAGAGACTGCCGCCCCAGCTGTCAGCCCTTCTCCTCTGTCTCTCTGCCCGCGCTGGGGTCCCCTGTGCATCTCAGGGCCGTTCTGCTCATTGTCCTTCTAGGCCACCGTCTTGCTTTACGTTCCACATAAACCTATTTCTTTGATCGTTCTCTTCAGTTCAGGTGCAACAATGCTAACATCTTCCAAGGTAGTTGTCTAAGAAGCACAAGAAGTACCAGTGGGCACAAATAAATACGTCAGCCTGCACCTATCTCTAGAAAAGCCCATTTCCCACCTGAGGTCTGAGCAGGGCTCGGACAGCACATCTTCCAGGCGTGACGACCGGGCTCCTTTCCTCACCCCAACCTGTTCAGTTCTTGAGGGTATCCCTCTGCCTTCCCTTCTTTGCCTCCTCCTCCTGAGGGCGAGATCACCGCCAGGGCCCTGACTGGTGCCCAGGCCCCAGTGGCCAGTGGAGGGCCTGGAAGCGGGCAGATACTCGGAGAACTGGTCCTGCAGGCATACACTTCCAGATGGGGAGGCAGCCTAGCTTCACAAGTGTTTCTCCCTCTGAGCCCTTTCCCCCCTGTCTCCTTGCTCCGGCGGCTCATCTAGGTCCTTCTGTGTCAAGCAGGCAGAGCAGGAGACAGCAAAGCTGGCTTCTCCCCAGCGAGCATGAAGGGCTATTTCCCCACCCAACAGTCGGGAACCAAGCCCAACAAGATGAGGTTTTGACCCCCCTTTTCAATTGCCGCCCTCTTTTTCCAGAAAACCCTTAAGTCATATCCGCTTGTTCTCAACTCCTTCGTTGCTCGCCAAGATGGCCACAGGAGGGAACACATCACACAAACACTTCTTCTGTTTTTCATGCCCCACCCCCCTCCAAACCGCCAAAGTTGAACAGAGGGCAAGCAGAGCAGTGTCTTTCAGCTGCCAGGGCTCGGTCGCTGTGGTGTTCTTCCGGAGGTGACGGGCCCTGAGCCACACAGGCAGGACAGTGGCTCAGAGCACTGAGGCCCTGCGTCATTTAGTTCCTGCTTTTGCCAGGGGCCGGGGTGAGGTGCAGTCCAAGACTGTACCACCCAGGGTGAAATGTAAGCCTTGCAGCGAGAAAGGAAGCTAGATCAATAACATGGACAGCGTGCGCTGAGTGTCCGTGTTTATATTCACTTACAGGGGCCAAAAGTGATCTCGAGATGGTGATGGGGGCAGACTGCGGGAGGGAAGGTCCTGGTCTCTAAACAGTGGGCTACAAATGGAGGTGCAGGAAGAACATAGTGGAAACTCTATTTATTTTAAAGTTCACCGCGCAGAAGTTTGCAGTGTATAATGTACATATTTAAACAGTCCAACTTATAAGTAAACACACATACGCTGCGGTAGAAAGCTCAGGAATGTATTTGCCGGGAAATGTTATCAGAAAGTTTGGAAACCTCTGTCAAACCATTCCGCTGTTTGCCACAGTTGTGAACTGGGTGAGGTTTACAACTGCTCGGACGAATGTGGGAAGAGGCCGGGGAGTTGGTGAGACCTGAAGCGCTCTTGCAATTCCACTTAAGACGACAGCAGCAGGGGACCATCTCCGCCCAAGGAGAGACCAGAGCCCTAGAAAGCTGGAAAATGGTGTCACCTCAGCCAGGCTCCCAAGGGAAGCCAGGTGGGATGCTTGCACTTTCTCAGCCAAGGCAGCCCGAGGCTCCCTGAGAGGAGAGAGGTCACAGCTGGGTGGCCTCCACACCTTACACTCAGCACTTTCCTGAGCATCTCCTGCCTCCATCCTGGAAGTCAAGGGACAGGAACTGACCCCTCTTCTCACTGGACACGCCTGGGAGATCACGGAGCAGCGAGCAGTGGGCCTAGTCTTTCCCAGAGTCTGTCCATACAAAGTGATGGCCCATGAACTGGAAGAGCACGGCGCAGGCGCCCGAGCGGGGCAGCGTGCAGAGGAAGGGACCCAGGTGCCAGCTCCCCGAGCAGTGACATCAGTGCTGCCCTAGTGGGTCCAGTGTCACTCTGCCCACAGAGTGGAAAGCTTTCTCTTCAACTCTGGCATCAAGCTGGGAAGCAGGGCTGACACCTGGAGGTCAAGACTAACATTGAAAGCGGCTTTGATAAAAGGAGCGTTGTTGAGGCCAAATGTAGGGAAGGGGTAGAAAGACAAACCACACAGGCTAGAGCAGTCTGTGCACAAACAGAAAAAAGAAATCTTGGTTGATGAAAAGTCAGTAGTTGAGAGTTACCCATTAAAAGAAGTGAGCGTTGGGACGCCTGGGTGGCTCAGTTGGTTAAGTGTCTGCCTTCAGCTCGGGTCGTGATCCCGGGGTCCTGGGATCGAGTCCCACATCGGGCTCCTTGCTCAGCGAGGAGCCTGCTTCTCCCTCTGCCTGCCACTCCTGCTGCTTGTGCTCGCTCTCTCTCTCTAATAAATAAATAAAATCTTTAAAAAAAAAATAAAAGTAAGCGTCAGGCTCACACTCCAGTGGTTTCTGCCAAGACTTGAATGCTCTCGAGGGGATCTTTCAGCCAATCACTCTGCCCTAAATCCCAGCGAGACAATAGGAGCAAGCTTCCCATTCCCTGGGAGAGGACGGATTTGTTGAGCACGTGGGTCATCTGCCCATGGGGCACAGGCAGATGCAGTGTCCACTTCCTCTGAGCTCTGCCCCTCCCACCGCAGGAGGCTCACCACCCACTGTTTTCTTTCCTTCCATCACTCAGAGCACCCCAAGATCTGGCTACCTTGGACCTTGAGGCAGACCTATATCCAGAAGGTCGGAGACACTGTGAACCTACTAATCCCATTCCAGGTGATCATGCTGGTCCCATGCTGGGTCCATGTTGGGTTCATGCTGGGACCAGGCCAGGGTTTTGATTTGGAAACAGATACTAAGAGTCTTGCTGGCACTGGGGCAGTCGTCCTGGCCTGAAATGGAGGGGGCCATGTCACCAGAAGTCTGAGGCAGAATGACCCTTCCATCTGCACTCCTGAGGTAGGGTTTGGGTTGGGCATGCCCCATGTGACGAACTGAGGCGAACCTATGTCCTTCAATCAGCAGAGGTCTGGGAACTTTCGGTTTAGAGGGCTCTGGGGAGTTTAGGCAGCTATTGTTAGCCCCAGCTGCCCCAGGTGACCTAAACTCTCAGAGGATGGGAAACTCAAAGCCAACCCCTTCGTTCCTCCCATGATCCTTAGGCTGATGATGAAAGAGGCGAGTCCCCTGGGGCAGTCCACCAATTTCTAACTCAAGGCATTTGCAGTTCAAGTCAGGTCACCATGAGGACCTGGGGTGGCTCTGACCCCCCATTGCAGCAGGGAGGGTCACGAGACCTCTTGGGGTTGCTCACAGCGTTTTCCCATTTCTTTGGGCAAACCCAAACCTCGAGCCACCTGGACACATGATGGCTGTGTCTTGGATGCCAGCCGTGTGAGTGTGCGGAATGGGGAGCAGGACTCCATCCTCTTCAACCGAGAAGCCCAACGTGCTGACTCGGGTCGCTACCAGCTCAGTGTGCAACTGGGAGAGCTGGAGACCACTGCCACCATTGACATCCTGGTGATCGGTACAGTGCGGGGAGTGGGAGAGTGGTGGTCCTCAGGGGCTCCCTCTCCAGGCTAAAGAGGGGCCATCACAGAGAGCTGGGGAAGCCGGGGTGACTCCCCATGGCGAGGGTCACAGTGGTGGGGGAGGGGAGGCATAGCTGAGCAGAGAAGGGGAAGGGCACTCCCGAAGTGAATCCCAGGCATATGTGGGAGTTGTACCATGCCCACTGCCATGCTTGGCTCTTTCAGAGAGGCCAGGCCCTCCTCAGAGTATCAAGTTGGTGGATGTTTGGGGCTCCAGTGCTACTCTGGAGTGGACACCTCTCCAAGACACGGGCAACACAGCACTCCTGGGATACACTGCAGAAGGCTGACACAAAATCTGGGGTGAGGCCCAGCTGGGAGGGAGTGTGGAGAGAGAAGAATAATGCATTCTGGAATGGGGCTCTGTAGCTCCATGCGGTGGGCTGAGGTGGAGTGAGTTCACAAAACGGGGGTCTCATTCACGGCATCTTCTTGGGACCCCAAAGCTGTGGTTCCCAGTGCTGGAGCGTTATCACCGCACCAGCTTCACGGTCTCCAAGCTCATCATGGGCAACTCCTATGCCTTTCGAGTCTTTGCTGAGAACCAGTGTGGGCTCAGTGAGACCGCCCCCATCACTGCTGACCTTGCGCACATCCAGAAGGCAGGTGGGGCCAGAGGCCTGGGAGCTGGGAGGGTTGAGGATGAAGAGTTGGAGAGGGGTGAGGATCTCAGGCACTACAGCGTGGCCCTTCTTGGTCCCCTCAGAGACTGCTTGCAAGACCGAGGGGTTTGCGCAGTGAGATTTCTCTGAAGCCCCAAAGTTCACCCAGCCTTTGGCAGACCGCACGACGGTCAGAGGCTATGACACCCAGCTCTTCTGCTGTGTCCGCGCCTCTCCCAAGGTGAGCGGGAGTCCTGCGGGCTGGCCGGGCCGCGTTGCTCCCTGCTCCTGCCCTAACCTCTGCTGTGGGGAAGAGCATTCTAACCGCATCGTTGTTCCATCCCCACCACCTGCCCCTTCTGCAGCCTGTCAGGCAGGTTATGAACAGTCAGGGCCCTTAGAGTCCAAGACAGACTGATGTGGATGATGCTTCCAGTTTCCTTTCTTCGTGTCTGTTCCTCGTAGATGAAGATGTCACTTACTGATCTGCTGGCAGCTGGGCGTGAGCTTCAAGTTGTCCCTCTGACAGAGGTGATGGGGTCCCCTGGTTTCTCCTCCGTCACCCACTATGCCTCACCTGCTCAGGGCCAACTGCATGCCAGCTGTCTAGAGTTGAGGCCACGACCCTTAGCAAGGCCCTTTCCAGTCTAGTCACTGTACCTCTGTACCCTATACTGCATAAAACGTCACTACAACCTTACCAAGTACCTTTTGCATAGAAGCCCTGGGCCAGACTACATGGAGAGAACATCTCAGAAAGAGAATGTCAACAAGCCCCGTCTAGAAACTACTTTCTAACCAGAGGGGACAGCAGTGGGAACAGAATATGAATGATTCAACAATGTATATACAAAAAAGAGGAGATCCTGAGGCCGGGTACTTAGGGATCCATGAGGGGCCTGCTTGCACAGGATGGAACAGAAGGTCCCAGCTTTTGTCTAGTCAGGAATACTTGATAAACAAGGCAAGGTTTCAGGTGCTCTTTTAAACCAACAGAAGGAGCTTAAGGCTTTTGAGGGTACTGGAAAGGGAATCCCTCCCCAAATGTAAGGAATGGGGAGCTTTCCAGAAGACCATTATCTCTTCTAGATTCCGTACCACCTGTTCTTAAGGCACCCTACTCCTCCCCCTTTTCTGGCCGGTGTGTCCCCAAGCCTTGTAGGCGAGGAGTCCCAGGGATTGAGCACAAAAAGAACAATTGGTTCTCACCACTCCCGTGCCATTCCCTCGTCTTTATCTTGCAGCCAAAGATCATCTGGCTGAAGAACAAGATGGATATCCAAGGCAACCCCAAGTACAGAGCTCTCAGTCACCTGGGAATCTGCTCTTTAGAAATCCGCAAGCCTGGTCCCTTTGACGGGGGCATCTACACCAGCAAGGCGGTTAACCCCCTGGGGGAGGCGTCTGTGGACTGCCGGGTGGATGTGAAAGGTAAGGGCAGAACTCATCCCCTCTCTCCACAGCTGGAAAATTCGGGGACGGAGCCACAGCCTGCAGGGAGCAGGGCTTGGCTGGCTCCCCCTGCAGGTGCTCTTGGCACTGTCATCTTCAGGATGGATTCGAGGAGCTGTTTTTATTATCCAATATCATATTTCTCTCCAACATAATTCTGTAATACAGAATGGCTAGTTCCATTCTGCAAAGGAGAAACCTGAAGCACAGGGTGGTGATCGGTTTACCCAAGATTCCCAGCACTGCTTAAGTGAGGAGTCAGCACTGGGGTGGAAAGAGCCCAAGCCTCCTGGCCTTCACTCAGATCGTTTGTCTTGCAACTCTACAGTCTTTGACTCAGTCCAGGAAAGCTGCAGCTAGCTGTCTGTTAGGCTTTTAAACAAACCAGAGGACTTGCCCCTCTGGTTTGTTAAAAGGCTAAGCACATCCTCTCTATCTCTTTTAAAGTATTCATTCATCCATCCATTCCTGTCACCTTGTTCTGACATCCGTCATTGCATTTAATGTATTGTTATATAAGTGCCTATTTACTGATCTGTTTCTCCATTAAACCAAGAGCACTGTGAGGGCGGGGACAGTCTGACTCGTCTTTGTCGTCCCCCCTCATCCCCACCAGTGTGGAGCCCAGTTTCTGACACACAGTGGGCACTCTCTAAGTGTGCATAGCATGAATCAGGAATGAACGGGCCATTACATGCCCTATTATTCCCCCTGAGGAGACTCCTAATTAGCACCATGGACTCTGGAGAAACCTGAGAAGTATATCCCTTCCCAGTGCTCCTCCACAAAACGTTTCCCAGAGATTTCTGAGATGTTAACTCTGAGAAATGTCTGAATTCTTGCAGCTACTCACTGAGGCTCCCCGAGAGGATTAGGGCAACTCTGACAAAGGTAAGGAAAGAGAGACTGGGGTTCTGAATGGAGTAGGTCATGTTTATGGCTAGTGTTGAGTCTGGGACAGATATGTATTCCTGAGTCTTTCAACCATGCAGTCATTGGTGGCTACTTTCCTTTTAACCACTTTTTTTGGTAAGCTGCTACTATCATCTCCATGGAAGGAATTTACTATAGATGGTACTACTTTTGTCACATCCTCTATCTGTACTCAAGTTGATGACGGGTATTAAACCTAATGGTCCTCTGAAAAGGAATGATAGCATCTGCCTAACAATAAGCGGGTTCTGTGGGAGGGAGGTGGGCAGGTGCTATAGGAAAATGAATCAGGGGAACAACCAGGAGAAGGGGATGGGTGGGAAAGGAGACAGGAAGTTGCTGCTGTCCACTGTTTCTACCTCAGAATCATGAGCATGGTGAGGAACAGATTAGTTTGCTTGTCTTTTACTTTGAAGTTTATGGATTCCTTCCCTTCTGAGAGAAGAAACCACCATTATCTTCATGTCAATAATAATTAAACATGTGGGTACGTGGTCCCAAGCAGCACATTACTGGCAAAGAGCAACTCAGATCATCGTTTAGAATGGGATAGCTCCTTCAGGTTCTAAATCACACACAGCGGAAATGCTGTGTGCGGACTAATGAGTGGGGCGAAAAAGCAGCTCGTGGGAGAATTAAGGAGAACTGGTTCCCAATGTCTCCTTGGACTTGCAGTTCCTGGCTGATGAAAATTGAGGATGAATACCATCTGAGAAGCCATTTAGTTGAGTCCATCATTGATACAGAGCAAATAAAAACCCTCAGGGATGCATTAAAAGCACAGACTTCTCAGGAGAGCTCTCTCTGCCAGTTGGCTTGCAAAGACAGTTCTCTGGCCACCCCTCAGTTCCCTCTCTGGGTTAATGTTAATGTTACGTTGGGGTTAGCCTTGTCAGCGGGACTTGCTCTGCTACCTCTCTCTCAGCCAGCACCCAGAAACAAAGCCGGGTAAGTAGAGAAGTGACAGCACAGGACCCAGGGACCACGAAGCGGATTGCCTCAGCATCCTGGATGTACGCTGGGTCTTTGCTGTTACAGCCACAACACACTGTTTCTTTTCTGTGCCTCCAGGAAGCCTGACTGTGGCAAGACTGTGTTCTTAAGGAGCTCCGGCACAGCGTCTGGTTTGGACTAATCTAAATAAATGTGTGGATCCTCAGTGGCTGTGTCCATCTGTTTGAGCCTTTCTCTATGGGAAAAACATTTAGAACATTGGAATCCTTTAGCCAGACGGTATGGAATCTGCAGACCCTCCGACTCATCTTTCTCCTCATATCCACATTCTCTTCCGCAGAGGTTTCTAACACTGTCCTTTTGTCTAGAGTCTATGACAGAGCTGAATTCATCTCTCCAGTGCCTGGTGCTGAAAGAGATGCTGAACATGACTTGCTCTCTTCCTCTCTGCGCTCTCCGGTATGAGTTGGAAAACAGGATGCACATCCATCACAGAGACGCAGACAGCAGAACACATAAACACGTACATAGCTAAGTGAAGACAGAGCACAAAGACTTGAGGGCTGGGAGACACTGAAGAAACTGGAGCGGTCTCATTAAGCCCTGGGGAAAGAATAAAGGTGAGGTGCCCTTGCCTACACTTTTGTTTTCATTCTTATAGCAAGTAATATTTAAAGGCATTCTGTGATGGGATCTGCAAAAGATAGAAATTCCTCCCATCCTAGCTAGGATGGGCATGGTGCTCTTCCCACCAAGAGCTGGAGTCTGTTTCCCCTCCCCTTGAACCTGGGCTGACCATGTGACCTACTTTAACCAAAAGAATATAGTGGAGGTGATGCTGTGCCAGTCTGGGCCTAGACCTCAAGAAGTCTAGTAGTTTCTGCTTTTGCTTCTGGAAGTCAGCTCCCATGTAAAGAATCTCAGGACAGATTACTGAATTAGGAGAGGCCACATGCAGGACAACCAAGCATCCCAGCCGACAGCCCGCACCACAGCCCTAGGTATGTGTGGCTACCTGAGACCCTTCAGCTCTAGTCAAGCCCAATCTACTGCCTGTGGAGCCAAGAGAGGTAGTCCTCCCACGAGCCTGGCCAAACTGTAAAATCATGAGATGAATGGTTGCTGTTGTTTCAAGCCATGAAATGTTAGAGTGGTTTGTTACACAGTAATATGTAACTGAAACAGCCTTCTCTGCATCAGATGCTTTGAGTGCTGAATGTTAGGCTTTATCTCTTTTAATTTTCATTTTTCAAATGAGGAAGTCGAAGTTTATAAATTGCTCCAAGTCATGCAGCTGGTAGTAGCAGACCTGGGATTTGAACAAGATCTGCCTGACTTCAGGCCTTCCCTCTTTTCTGTCCTCTCTTTCACCCAGTGACCCTCACTGTAGTGAGTCTGGGTTGGAATCATGGGTTTAAGAAAGAAATTTTTTTTTTAAGATTTTATTTATTTGTCAGAGAGAGAGAGAGAGAAAGCACAAGCAGGGGGAGCGGCAGGAAGAAGGAAAAGCACACTCTCTGCTGAGCAAGGAGCCTGATACGGCACTTGATCCCAGGACCCTGCGATCATGATCTGAGCCAAAGCCAGACGCTTAACCAACTGAGCCACCAGGTGTCCCTGAAAGAAAAGATTTCTAGAAGGCAGTAAATCTTAGACAAGGCTTTGGGGGCAGGGGGAGGGGTGTTTTGGCTGAGAAGAGTGAGAAGGGCTTTCTGTTCACACCAAAGGTCTATTTTCAGTTGAGGCAAAGTGTCTGTTCCAGCCTTTCTCTACTGGAGCACTATGAGAATTAAGCCCCAGTGCCTCCATCCATTGCATGTCATAAATTAACTTCTTCTATGCATTCAGAACACTACTAGTTATGTAGCATCTTGGGAAAATTGAGAAAGTAGCCACACAAATTATTTGTAGGGTCTAAGGCCCTTGCTGAGAATGTTGGGTTGGAGAGAGTGGGGGAACCAGGGTCCGGGGCCAGATAGTCATGTACGCAATGGCCAAGAGGCCTCCCTCCAGCTGAAGCAGGGCCTACGTCAGGAAGGAGTGGAATACTCCGTTATGATGCCCTAAGCATCAGTTAGACCTCTGGCCTCAGCCCACAGCCCCATGCCTCTGCTGTCTGTTGAAGTACTCAAGGACCATCCCTTACAGTTGATCTATTCTGAACCTTCATGATGAAGGAATAAAATCTTCACACTGAACGAGACTTCCAGTCACAGTGACTCTCTGCACATTCAAGAAGGATTGCCCTGGAATTCTTAATTTTATCATTTATGCATTCAACACTATGGAGTGCCTCCTGAACTAAGGCTGACCACGTGCCTGGGAGGGGGTGTGATCTCTTTGTTACTTCATTTATTCACTATTTATCCAAAATCTTAAACATCTGTTCATATGTATCATTTTGGGGTTGAGCTAACATGGACAAACAATTCCCAGAGTAGTGGCCTTATGCTGAGTAAGAACTCTTGTGCCTGAAATCTCTATTTTCTGATTTTGTTATTATTTTGATGGAGGAGAAAGTAGTTCGGTTGCTTTTTTTTTTTTGGTGGTGGTACTGCAACAGCTTTCAAAATCGTAATTTGATAACAGAAATTTTTTTTTTAAGATTGTATTTGAGAGAGAGAGCACAGTGAGAGGCAGAGGGACAGGGAAAGAGACAAGCAGACTCCCCACTAAGCAGGAAGCCCAAAGTGGGGCTCAATCCCAAGACACTGGGATCATGACCTCAGCCACAGGCAGACGCTTAACCAACTGAGCCACCCATGGGCCCCTGGTGACAGGAAATTGAAGAGGAGTTTCCTTAGGAGAAACTAACTGCCAATTTGCTAAAACTGCCTCCCCCACTCACCTGAGGTTGGGTGAAGAAGCAATCGCAGGGTTTCCCTGCTCAGGCTGCTCCTAGGCAAAGCAGGAGGGCAGTTACTGAGCAGCTTCTCTCCCTCCACTCTACTTTGCCACCACCTGCCTGGAGAGAGGGAAGCTCCTGGCTCCCCGACCTCCCACCTCCCCAGAACCTGAATCCTATAAGCAACTGCAGTCCCACCTTCGCCAGCAAGCCTCCAGAAAACCAGGCCACCCTCTTCTCTCGGCTCTTCTTCACGCAAGTCTGCGAAGTTCTGGGCCTCCCCCACCCTGCCCCTCAGCACCCCACTAAAATCCCAAGGCCCCTTGGCGGGCTGTGGCATTTATTACACTGACAGCTCACGCCTGCAAACCTCACAGCTAAACACTAGGAAGGAAACCCCACAAAGCCTGTAAATAGCCAAGATAATGGTCATAAACCCTGGAGACCAAAGCTCTCCAGCCATTCTTCTAAATTTTTAGAACATTTTTTTTAAAAGATTTTATTTATTTATTTGACAGAGAGAGACACAGCGAGAGAGGGAACACAAGCAGGGGAGGGGGAGAGGGAGAAGCAGGCTTCCCGCCGAGCAGGGAGCCCGAAGCGGGGCTCGATCCCAGGACCCCGGGACCATGACCTGAGCCGAAGGCAGATGCCCAACTCACTGAGTCCCCCAGGCGCCCCTAGAACATTTCTAAGAAGCCCTGGCAGTCCTAAGAAGCCCAGCCTAGTCACAGGCAACCACTGGGAAACAACAAAATCTCTAATAAGGAGGCTTAAGCATTTTACAAACACAGCTTTTAGTTTAGAGATAGCAAGTTACAAACACGCTCAAAAGCCCCCGAGGCACGCGGCAGAAAACTGGAGACTGGTAGTTCTCCTAACCGCGGAACGTGACTGACGGTCGGGAGCCTCGCTCCGCGGGGAAACGAGGGGTCCCTGCCTGCCTCGTGGCGGAGGAGTCTCGGCTGAATTGGACCCAAACCTCCCCGTCGGAAAAGCCTGTTGTTTGTTTTTTTTCTTACATCTCGGTTACCTCGGGTCCCGAATGTTCTCGCTTAAAAAGACGGAAGATGTACTTCTTAGAGAACCTCAACATACCTAAGATATAAGTATCCAGGTTCTCCCGCAACTTGGAAAAGTCACAATTGAGGAAATCTGGCAAAAGCGGGGTTTGCAACCGGAGTAACCCGCCGGAAGCGAATTTCCTCAAGCGCGGCGTTAGTCTTAGGGCGGGCGCGCGCAGGCCGGGCGGGTGAGGCCCGGCTCCGCCCCGCTGGGGGAGGGGGCGCAGAAGGGGGAGGGGGGCCTCGCCGGGCGCGAAGCCTACATTCATTGGCCAGGTCCCTCGCGCCCCGCCACAAGGCCCCGCCTGCTCCGAAGGGAGGCCTCCCCGCTAGAGCCCTCCGGATGGAGTCTTTCTCAGAGCCGCTCTCCACACGGCCCCCACCTGTAGACTTCCGGCCGGCTGCCTATCGCCGCCCCGCCCCCGAGGGCAGGGGATGCTGGGATCCGCCAATCACTGGGCGTCTGTGGTAGGAGTGGGTGGAGCCTGAGAGATTCGAAAGGAGCCCCACCCCCTCGGGGCTGATTCCCGGGACCAAGTGGTGGGGAGGCAAGCACCTTCGGCGAGAGGTGAGGCGGGGCGGAAAGTAAAAACGCAGGGTGGGCTGGAGGTGTGGTGTGCGTGTGGTGCCGTGGGAGTTGAACGGTGATCTGGGGAGAGGAAGAACCGGAGGATGGTGGCGGGGAAGAAGATAGGGCGTGCAGACCGCCCCCGGTGAGGAGAGGCCAGGTTGTAGGGGGGCGGTTGGGCAACCTGAGGAGGGGTGATGTGCGCTCTCCGCACCTTCCCCGGAGGTAACAGGGCTAAGTTACAGGGGCAGGTGCTACTCCTGGGACCCTTGCTTTACCTCCAGCGTGATCCCCAACCCCTGGCTTGCACCCTGAGTCTAGCTGGGAGCCTTGGGCAGGATGGAGAACTGAAGAAAGGGGTATTTTCTCTCCAGCTCAGGTCTAAGCTGACTCGTTCTCCTACCGGCTGGAACATGGAAGATTTGGAGGAAGGTAAGGAAAGGAAGGAGGGAAGAATGAGGCGCTGCGATTGAGAGCCGTGTTAGTGACCTGAGGCTGGCATTCATTCCCTTCTCCCCTACAGATGTAAAGTTTATCGTGGATGAGACCTTGGACTTTGGAGGGCTGTCACCATCTGACAGGTACCATCCTCTTTAACCTACTTGCTTTCCTCCAACAATGCCTCTGTCTCTAACCCCCTACTGCTGAATTATTGGTCTCTGGGGTCTGGGTTGGTAATGTAGCAAGGTTGGGTGCCCTGCGGCTGCTGGGGGACTTGTTGACGTGGGCCTCAATGACACTACTGGGGGAAGGGAAAACGGATAAGCTGGAATGAGATTTCAGGATGTTAAGAAAAAGGGTAAGTGGATTTGCTGTGTCTTCCTCCTGGCGACGTTTCCAATGTCGTTAAGAGCTAAAGGCCTATTAGGCCTCATAGAACCAGACGTCTCATCACCTAGAGGCCAGATCTCGCAGCCAGCATGGGCATCAGGGTTTGGGTTGTATCCCTGGCTCTGTTGTGGGGCGGGGAGGGGTACCAGGTCTCCTTTGCACAGTCTCCTGCGCTCTTCTGTGTGCGCATGGTGCCTGGTTTGTTTTCTGTCTCAGTCGTGAGGAGGAAGATATAGCAGTGTCGGTGACTCCAGAGAAACCCCTCCGAAGAGGACTTTCCAATCGAAGTGACCCAAATGCAGTGGCCCCAGCCCCCCAGGGGGTGAGGCTCAGCTTAGGCCCCCTTAGTCCAGAGAAGCTGGAGGAGATTCTCCATGAGGCCAACCGACTGGCAGCCCAGCTGGAGCAGTGTGCCCTGCAGGAGCAGGAGAGCACAGGTGACGTCCTGGGGCCTCGCAAGGTGAAGCCCAGCCCTCGGAGGGAAACCTTTGTGCTGAAGGACAGTCCCGTCCGAGACCTGCTGCCCACTGTGAGTTCTTTGACTCGGAGCACCCCCTCCCCAAGCAGCCTGACACCCCGACTCCGGAGCAGCGATAAGAAGGGGGCAGTCAGGGCTCTTCGGACAACATCTGGAAAGAGGCCCTCCAGTGTGAAGAGAGTAAGTTTGGAGGGTCTGGGTTGGATGTGTGCCCTCAGACACAGTGTGTGAGTTGGTACAGCCATAGAGTTGGTAAAATGGGGTTAGTAAAATTCTACCTCAGAATTATTGGAATTAAGCAAAATACCATAAGCAAAGCACTTACCGCAGCATCTGCACGTATCTCTGTAAATGTCTATAATAAGTTCAAGATCAGTGGTATTGGTGAGGATGATGATGTTGGCAGCTGACGTCTGCCCTTCCTTACTGGGATGTAGGCAACTCTCCACCTCTATTTCTCAAACAGCCAGCAGAACAGATTCTTTTTCCATTCTAGTTCTATTTTTTCCCTCTTTGTATTTCAGGAGTCACCCACTTGCAATCTGTTCCCTGCATCCAAAAGCCCAGCATCTTCTCCTCTTGCCCGATCCACTCCTCCAATCCGGGGCAAAGCTGGGCCCGTTGGGAGAGCAACAGCAAGTGAGAAGGCTTGGGCAGCAAAGCTGTGGGTGAGTGGGGGGGGGAGGGAAAGATGTGGAGCTGACCCCCTCATTCCTCTACTCCTTTCCACCAGGCCCGCCTACCCCTGTCAGACCAGTCTTGGCCCCACAGCCTTCTACCAGCAACTCTCAGCGACTCTCTCGGCCACAGGGAGCAGCTGCTAAGCCTTCCAGTCGACTGCCTGTTCCCTCAGCCATCCCCAGACCTGCCAGCCGAATGCCACTCACCAGCCGGAGTGTACCACCCAGCAAAGGTGCCCTGCCTCCAGCTTCTCTGCCAACTCGGAAAGGACTTCCACGACCAAGCGCCGCAGGGCACAGAGGTGAGGAAGAGTGGACATAATGGTTGGAAATCAGGAGGAAGAATGCTTACCCTTGCCCAGCTTGGATGCACCCTCCCAGAGCTGGGACCAGGGACCACTTTTCCCATCTTCATTACCACTCAATTTGAAGATGGGGAGACTAAGTGAAAGAGAGGATGTGGGTCCGGGCAAAGAGTCTGAACCATGGTTTTCAAATACTTTGTGTTTTTGACCTTGGGTAGGAAGAAAGGCACTAATCCCAAACTCACTCTGAGAAGGTCACTTGAACTCTCTGCTAACTCATTTCTTTTGTCAACCCCCATCAAGTTCCCATTTCCCAGCGACCAAATCTTCCGGTCCCTGGTGCCACTCGAGGCAATCTGCAGCCCCCCAAGAAGGTTGCAGTCCCAGGACCTACCAGGTAAGACTGGTTAAGATGCTCTCTCCCCCCTGTCATCTGGGCTTCCAAACTGTTATGCACACCAGCCCTGAGTCTTGTGTGGCAAGGTGGGGATGAGAGGGGAGCCTGGAGAGGCAAGCAGTCCCATTTCTTCCTTCCCTCAGAAACTTGATCTCAGCTGGGTGACAAATGGGCTTGAGGAAGAGGGACAATTTAAAGCAGTTCTTCCTTCTGACTCCTTAGGTAAAGAGATCAGGACAGCAAGCAAGAATTCAGTAGCAAACCACTACCGTCACTGCCTGGACTCACCTCTACTCGGCCTCCCAAGCCCTCTCATGGAAGACAGGCCCTGACTCTAGCAGATTCTGGCCCGGGAGCAGGAGAAAGAGATGACACCAGGGCTGGTGGCCCAAGAGTAAAGAGATGGGAGATGGGGTGGATTAGGGCTGAGCTGGAGGGGAATCAAACCCTGTGGGTTGAAAGAGGATTAGGGAAAAGAGGTCACCTCCTGACAGTGAAATTAACAAGCAGAAAATGAGAAAAGCCAGAGAGTAGTTTGTGCCCATCCACCCCGACTCTTATGTTCAGTCCCAGAGGGTTTGATCTTCCCAGGCATTGGTTCACTGGACATTTACATGTGAATGGCCTCCTGCTTTCTGAGGAGGAGCCCTAAATTCCGTCCAGGACGCAGGCCTGTTTGGAGAGACAGAGGCAGGCACCTGGTCTCCAGAACTTGTTTCCTGTAAATTCTCTGACTCTTAAGAGGCCAGTTGATGATAAGCTTACATTGGTCAGTGTTTTTCTAAAATAAAATGAATGTATTTTTCTAATCTCTGTATATGTGAAAGTAAATTCTCCAATTTCACACAGATTTGTAGTAAACTCCTGTGTTATTCCGATGACGGAGCCACGACAAGCTTCCCAGACCAGGGCCTAATTAGGCTGAAGGGGCTTGTGATTCGGGACCACCCACCCTCCCTTTGTTGGCATTGGATGGGAACAAGCTACCTTCTTCTGGGATACATGTGTTAATGAAAGGTCCAGATCAAGTGAAATATGTGAGTGAGGCTATCAAGGCAAGGTCTTGGTCAAGTTATTATCTATATCCTAAGCTTGGGTGTCTTTCCTGGCAAGAGCATGGAGCCTTCTGAGAATGCCCTCAGCATCTACTCTGCTGTACTGATGAGATGAGGGGACCCTTTGGTGGGTACCCTGGTATTCAGTTTTGCTGACTGCTTCAGCAGAAGATGCTGGAACACCTCATCACGTTCTGCCTTATATCATTAGAATTGGTGGTCCTAGACTTGAGGGCTGACACCTCTGTCTTATAAACCTCTGCCGTGCCTAGTGTTATGATTTGTATGTGGCAGAGAATTTCACTCATTTGTTGAAAAAATAAATTTGAGTGCAAGGGGGGGGGGTTGGTGAACGAATGACAGAGACTAACAGATTTCACTAAGGGTCCCCCTTTTCTCACAGCCTTTGACTCTTGAAACCAGAACCAATTCAATTCCTTGTGAGGTTTTTGGTTTTTTTAGGATTGATTTATTCATTTTAGAGAGAGAGAGCTGGGGTAGGGGGCAAGTAGGGGTGGAGGGAGAGGGAAAGAGAGTCTTAAGCAGACTCTGCTCTAAGCATGGAGCCCAAGGTGTGGCTCAACACGGGGCTCGATCTCACGACCCCGAGATCACAACCTGAGCCGAAACCAAGAGTCAGACGCTAAACAGAGTGCACCACCCATGTGCCCCAATTCCTTGTGAGTTTTGAGAGAACTTCCCTCTTTGAAGGCTGGGCTATGACTTAAGGAAGCCAGTAGGCAACTGAACAGAGGGAGTGGAGTGTCAGCTGGTGCCCCCCACCCCCCCCCACATATAGATGCCCATCAGCACCCTACTTAGGCATTAAAATGTCCTTTCCCAGACAGAGGCCCTCCACTGCTGTCTCCTTTTTATGGCTGATCTTCAGGTTCAATGAACATATTGACCTTTATTAGAGTGGCAGCCGCCTAGGCATTCGCCTCTCTCCCTGAGCCCCCTGCAGCAACTCCTACAGGCTCTGGGAGTTTAAGAATTGAACTGCGGGAGGGGATGCGGAAACACACCGAGTATTTGGCTCTGGAGAAATTTGGCAGAGGCAAGAAAACCTCAGGTGTGTTCTCCAGCTCGTGAGCAGGGCCCTTGGTGACTCCCCAGTGGGACCGAAGCTCTGGAAGGCCGGCGCGCCTAGGCAAGCTCTGAGGTGTGGCCATCAGATGGCATGTGTGTGGGGCTTGGGAGGCAGACCCGTATGCTGTTGCCACCTGGTGGCCGGAAAGGACAAGGCATGTTCCTTTTGCCCTTGGTCAGTCTTGAATTTCATAACCCCCACCTGCCCTGCCCCCATCCTGCTCCAAACCTGCTTAAGCAACGTCCAGTAGACTTTGCCAGCTAGGGAGGAGGCCCCCTGCCACAGCGGCCCTTCTTGCTCAGCTACCTGCTTACTTCCTTCCCTTTGGGGCTGGCTATTTTTCTTTGCACTCTACCCCCACCCCTCCCCAGGAGCAGCAATGCCGGAAGCCAACATTTACTGGCCTCTTAACTACGCACTGCGAACTGTTCGAAGCACTTTACATGTGTTAACTCATTTAATTCTCATAAAAGCTCAATTAGGCGGATGCTATTATCATCCTCATTTCGCAGGCAGAGAAACTAAGGCTCAGAGAGCTTAAGTCACTGGGTCTGGTTCCAAGGTATGTGCTCTTAATCACTACCCTCTATGGCCCACATGTTAATTCCCTGGCTAGTTTGCTGAACAGACCTTTGAAAAACACAAAACTTGGGAAAGGACGTAATGTTGCAGAGCACGGAGGTGGCTTGAGTGTGAATTGTTGCTTCATTTCTGATGGGAAAACACACACGATGACCCAGAGGAGTGGAGTCAGGAGGTACCTTGTCACTGAGCCACTCAGCCACCCTGCCCTCCCTGTCTCCTGAATTCTGTCCCCAGGACTCAGCCCTAAGGGGCTGGACTGGAAACCTGCCTTCTCTTTGCAGCCTCCCCAGGGACACAAGTCCCTGTTGTCCTGATGAAAAGGATACTCTCCTGCCACCTGCCACATCTTTGGACGTGCCAGGACATGGGCTCCGAGCTGATGAGGCTATTCGGGGAGCACTGCTGGGATGCTGGTAGTGGGGGCTAGCTCACTGGCCACTTGACATCCGAGTCCCCTGACTTCCTGGCCCTCCCATGGCCCTGCCTGCTCTTGTTTTCCAGAGCCTCCCTCTGGAAGCACAGGGCACCCACAGAAGCACAGGATGACAGCGCTCAACCCGCACAGAACTATAGTTTATTCAGTAGTATGGGGAAATGAAAAAAAAAACAAACACAAAACGCTACCGTATTTACAGTAACAATCAAACTGTACAATCTGATGGTTAGTATCAAGTTAGCATCCAGCATCTTTGTATTTAAGTCAAGTCATCAGTAGTTAAAAACCAGTTAAATTTTTAACCCTTTGTAGGAATTGCTGAGGGAAGAGTTCAGGGGGAGAATCCATGGCAGAAAAGCCAGTAACCAGCCTTACACATGAGAAACAGGAACATTTTTTTTTTTTTTCCCCACCCATAGCCTCTTTTTCTAGCCACCTGCTTCAGAGGAAAGTCAGTGACAAGTGGGGAATACATGCTCAGCGTACATGGGAACTCAAACGAACAGCGGTTGGCAAAACTGAGGCGGCGGGAGGAGAGGAGGCAGGAGATGAGAGCCTGGAGCAAAGGGAAGGGCCTCAGGCCCCCGCGCCAGGACTGCTGGGTGCCCACCCAACCCGTCACGGCCACATCAGACCCCCTGGGACCGGACACGAACCCATCCCAACACAAAAAGCAAATAAATAAAAATATATATTAACTCTCTCTTCGCAGGGAGCTGGGAATGGGCGTGGGAGAGGGGAAGAAAGAGGAACGGGACCTGGTCCTTTGAAGAAGAGAGCCAATTCCGAAAAGGGGTTAAAAATAGAACACGTCTCAGAGGCCACAGTAGGTCAGACAAAGTGGGATTTGTCTGATCTTGGCGGGGGGGGGGGGCGGCAGTGGTGGCGGCTGCGTGGACACCAGAACCCAGACTTGAGACCTGTGCTTGAGACTTCTGGGGGCAACCAAGCCAGCCCTCGACTTACTCTTCCTCCGCGTCCCACCCACACCACAGCAAAGAAGCGCAACTAAACACATGCCTGGCCTTCCCCGGGCGGGTCAGGCAGGGAAATGAAGCACTTTTGGGTCAGCAAACTGAGCAAACGCCCGGGCTGCAGCACGTGGCCAGAGTCCAGGGAAAGGAGAGGGGCTGGGGTGGCCCGGCCTCCGCCCAGGGGCACGAGTTCCCCTCAAAATGTGTTCATGCAGCATTTGGGGGTCCGGGGGCGCGGAGTCCTTCAGCCCCCTCTCCGGACGGGGCTTTTGCAGTTCCTGGGAGGGGCAGCACAGGCAGGGTGAGGAGTGCCCTCGACCTTGATGCCCTCACCATACTGAGGCCCCGCCGGGGTGCAGCCTACAGGGCCCGATGCCCTGGGTGCATGTGGCTTTGTCCTTTCCTTTTGGTGATGGCAAACGAGGGGCAGGCCCCCCAAGAGTCCCTCTCCTCCCAGAGGCACAGCAGATGGGAAACTGAGGAGAGGCTGGGAAGTATCCTGGGAGGTCCTATCCTCTTTGGGAAGGGAAAGGGGAGTCAGTTTCCAGCATATAAAAAAAATTAATCCCTGAAGTCATGAAGAGTGGAGATCCTTTTTTAAATTCTTTTTTTTCCTCTTTTCTGAAAAAACTTTGTCTTGGAGATGTTGGCCCCAGGGGTCCAAAGTGCAGTGAAGGGGATGGTGGGGGAGGGAGTTGGCACTAGATGGCCTTGGGTGGGGTGGGTGCCCCTCCCGGCAAGGCCCAGGCTCCTCAGATGGACGTTTCGTCGCTGCTGTGGGCAGGCGGTGGGGAGCAAGGGCAGGATAAAGCACAAGACAGGAGTGGGGGCATGAGTGCAGCTGGGGAAGGTAAGGGAGCCTCAGGGTGTAGGAACCACCGGCCCAGGGTTAATGCAGGAAGTTAAAGAAGAGAAATCTGGAGAGGCAGGAAAGGAAAGTAACAGAAAAGGCAGACAGGGGGTTAGTCGGAGCAGAGAAGACAGTGAGAAGCTTTCACCAGGAGAAGGAAACAGGAAAGCAACCCCAGCTCCCCACCCTCCCTCGCTTTGCCTGACGCAGGCCTGAGCTGACCCCGCGGGCCCCCATGGTTTGTGGGCACATCACAGTAAGGGGGCTGGGCTACACCAGCCCAGTCGTCCCCTGATCGCCTGCCAGAGCAGCCTGGGGAGGCCTGGAGGCGGCTCCGAGCCCAGCCAGGGCCTCAGTGGGGCTGCACCCTGTCCCACCCAGCCAGCCCCACTCACTCGGAGCCCGACGAGTCCTCATCCACCGTGCCTGCCTTGATACTCATGGCGATGGGCATGACCCCGTTCAGCTGCTCCTGGAGACTCTGCCGGGGTGGAGGGCGGGGAGGGGGTCCGCCCCGGCTGCCCTCGCTGGCTGAGGAGCCCCTAGAAGACCCTGTGCCTTGCTCCAGGGGTAGCCGTAAAAGGCTGCTCTTCTCACTGATGGTGGGCAGACACTTCTTCTTGAGGATGCCTGTGGGCCGGGGG